ACCAAAAAATATATTTCCCCATTCATATAGTATCAGAATAAATTAAAAATTAAGTGATGTGATTAGAAATAAGTATATATTTATTTTTTAAAATTTGAATGATGTAATAGGATAAATATAATTAATTATTTCATACTTTATAAATCTTGCAAAATATGTGAACATATAAAATGAAAAATGTTGTGAAATATATGGGACGAAACGAAATATTATGTAATTTGGACTTTTTTTGAATTATAATATTAGTAATGATTTTGGCTGAAAGGGCAAAAAAGGAGTAGATTGATATTAGGGCAACATATTAATTGAAAGACAATCCATTATTGTGAAAATTTCCATTTAATAAAAATGAGGAAACTTGAATTAATAATTTCGGATCCAATGTGAATGGATAAATCCTTGACTCGGCTCGGCTCGGCCCGGCACGACACGCGGTCTGTCTATATAAACCCGGCCCTACTGCAGCACCTTTCCACTGCATTGCATTCTCATTCTCTCTCAAAAACAATAATATTCTCCTCACTCACGCCACAAAAAAATGTCTCAGAGGGCTAACCGTCACCACCGGCGGCCGTCGCAGGGCGTCTTCGTGTTGCCGGACAACCTTTCCGATCCTTTGACGGATGAGATCGCTGCTCCACCAACTGTTGTTCAAGATCGGCAGCCGTCGCAGGAGAAAAGCGGCGGCGTTCACTTGCCGCCGCAGCCACCGGCGAAGCCTGCGGCGGCGGATCAGGAAATGAGTTTTCATCGTTCGAGTAAAGATTAAGCTGCGTGCGCGCTGGCTGGCTTAAGTATGAATTATTAATTAAATTGAATGACTAGATTTCTTTCATAAGTTATACTACTTACTGCTATATGTTTTCGAGTAGATCGGGCGGATATATAGAAATGAATTAGACCTGTGAGCATCAGATGTTGGCGGAAATGAGCAGAAATTTCTGTATCTTTTTTCATGATTCTGGTGAATGCTAATACTTTTTCCATATTCTAGTATAATTTATCCGGCTCCGTGGCTGTTGCTTGGTTCCGCTATCACTTGTATTTTGGTAAAGCGCCTCCCTCGGTTATCTTCCAAATCGTTTCAAAATGTATAAAGCATAGTTCGGCCATCGGATCTGTTTAGTAATTTTGCAGATCAGAAACTGCTCAAACGGTTCAAAAACCTCACCGATTCTTAAAGTTAATCTTATTACTGCTTTTAATTTCTACGGAGCCAAATCGAGTTCGATTCCTACGTGTTCTGATAAATCAGACGGTACTGCTCCATCCACAATATAATGCATGTTTATCACGAAAACTGGTTGTGAATCTGTACCGGGGGCGGTGCATAGGAAATGACGAAAGCAGATCACACGTTTTCAACACGAGAAAGGGGAAAAAGGAAGGCTCCGAATCAGAAGCAAATTATTACTCCTCATTATTGTGTTTGCCGAAGACTGTCTATAATTGTTGCTTGTCTGCTTGTGCGGGTAAAGCTGCTGCCGCTGCCGCTGCCGCTGCCGCTGCTGCTGCTATTGACATTATTATTATTATTATTATTATTATTATAGTCCATCCAATCCTCCGCAAACAGAGAAGAGAAGGGGTGTTTGTTGGATGAATTAGCTTCCGCAGAAGATAACTTGTGATAGAGACATGAGTGCAGAGAGAGCTTTGACCAGGTAAGGTAAGGTAAGGTAAGGTAAAGTAAAGTAAAGCAAAGTCGAGTCATTCTCGAAATCTGATGCCACAAACATTTCAAAGTTTGGTTGCCAGCTCTCAGCTCTGCTCGTTCCTTGTTAATTTCCTTACCGTCCAATATCAATTTTGGATGTGCTGTGCCTTTTAGAGTATGAGTTCGAGGAGGTTTGAATATTAAATTTGTATATTTATATATTTGTTTGATTTCATAAAAATAATAAGTATATTTTTTATTTAAATTAATTTCTTTTTAATATATAAAATAAATAAATAAATTTATTAATACTAGTCAAGTTTGTTGAATACCCACAAACAAACAAAAGTTTCTTGTCTTTGGCTTTAGTTTTTGCTGAATAATTAGTCTGGATGATTAAATAAGTAAATAATACTGTATATCTTTTTATCCGGGTTAACTATGCTACAAAATGTTAATTCAAAGATTAAAAAAAACAATAGTATTTTAATATAAAAATATAATATATAAAAAATAAAATGAGAATACTATAGAAAATTTATTAAAAAGTTAATAACAAAATAGTGATATATGTTGAAAAAATAATGATAAATTAATTATTATTTGTTCAACTAATAATAACAAAATTATGAATAAATAAAATTTTACAATATATATATATATGAGTGAATTATTCATAAATTAATCGGGGCAATACAGATAAAAAGAATTAGAAATAATTTGTATAATAAAAATTAAAAAACTTGAATCAAACACCAAAAGAACAATTAAGTAGATACTTTATAATAATAATACTAATAATTTTGTTAGAATTAAAATTTAATATGTATTTATAACAATAAAAATAATATTAATATTAACCACAATATTTCACTATTATTACTTTCGATTTTTATTTAATTTAAATTATTATTTTTATTAAATTACAAATTTACACAAAATTAATCATTATCTTGGAAACTCCAAAACGCTAACAATATTTCTTATATTTTTAGTTAATAAAATCGATTATTATCTTTTATGTGACAGGTGATTTAGAGGCTGATTTTACAGTCACGAGTCAATCTCCACACCACTAAAATATTTTTTTCATGAAGATTGTTCCTGGTACAACGTATAGTTGAAAACTCGTGCACTGACACAGGCCCAAAATGTTTGAAATTATGAACCTAAGTTTGGTTTATCTTATTGTTTGTTCGTCGTAAGGAGAGGTGCATGATTCTAACTGCCTTTGAATTTTTGTTTTTGGTCAATTTGAATATTTTATTTCTTATTGTTAAAAACAACATGTAAAGTAAAAACTTGTTGATCTGACATTTGGAAGCACATGTTTCAAGAATCAATACATTATTTATTTATTTACGAGAATAACTCCAGTGGTACATTTTATTATAAAGTACAATCTACCATAACATAACATGCAAATAAAAGAGCTGTTTACGAGTCAAACGTGCTAGCCTATTGGTTTTATTTTATTTTATTTTGTTTTTGTTGTATCTCGAAACAATAAAATAGGAGTAGATGGATAAAATTGCCATAAATATAATACGTAGTCTATAAATGAATTAAATTGCACGAAAGATGAATGTAAGAGGAGTGTGATACGTGAATGCACGATCGATCGATCGATCAATCAATTCATCGTACACTACGCTACATTCGTTGCATCTAAAACATCAAATTATTCAATAAAATAATTTTGTTTATTTTCAAATTAAATGATGACAAATTATTGGACAGAATAGCGATCCGGTCGATTTAATAAAATAATACTGACAATAACATAAGAACATGGTTGACACAATTTAACCATAGATGTATACTACTAATTATGATTTAGACATGATATTTTAAATATAAAAAAGAATAAAAAAATAATTAATTTTTGGATATTTTTATGAATAATGTTTTATAAACAGTAAAAACCTAATTCAAATCCTATAAGCAAACACAACCTAAAATTAATCTTTTGTTTATGTAACTTTTTATAATGTAGTTTAATGTATTCATTCTGCATAGTCTCCTCTACACTTTAACACATTCACTATAATATCATTCAATAATTAAAAAAAAAAAAAAAAAAGAAAAACTAATAAGGGTAATTATGGGTTTGTTTATTTTATGAGATTGTTTGAAATGATATTTTTTATGTTACCTATAAAATATTTTGTAGATATGATTTCTACCAAATATAACTATTTTTATATTATTATTTGCGTAAAAATCAAAATAAATATTGTAAGTTTGTTTTATTATTTATTATTTATTATTTATTTTCTACATGTATATATTTATAAAAAAATATAGTTACAATGATCCAATTCATTGTATTTTTTTTTTACTATTTTTATCCGTTCACTTAAAAGTATTATGTATTAATTATATTAAAATAATTATATCTAAACAATGAAATACATATATGTTTTTTTTATGAAGTTTGGAAAAAATGTGATTTGAATTTGATATTAAAATAATATATGATAAAATATTTTATGAAAAAAAAAAACAAAATTTGTGCTGATTTCAAATAGTAAAGATCTGGAATATGAAGGTAAAAGAAACATGTATATATTATAAATTTCAAATAGTAGAAATTTGAGGTTTAGAGTCGAAAGATGTATTTAATGTGAATATATATATATATATTAATAACTAAATAAACACACTGGTTACAAGTGTTTAATAGTCCCAAAAAAAAAAAAAGTGTCAAATAGTCCAAATAGTTTTGATTTTGTAGGCGCAACTCGCCCTGTGAAGCCCAATCACATAAAAAGAGGCCCTTACCCATTATGGTTAATTTAATTTTGGCCCGTTATTGCTTAGTAGCTTCTTATTTTAATTAATTATACATTTCGGAAATTTAAATACGATACATATTTTTATCCTTAGGAAATGATCGTGTTGAAGATAATATCTGCAGTTTCTTTTTTTATTTTTATTTTTATTCCAACCGCTATTATTATTATTTTTTTCGATCGCTATTAAATTGATTGGTTTGTATTCTTGAATTTATTATTTTAAAGATATAAAATTTATAGTATTAATTTTTATATATTTAAATATTAAATAAAAGAATTTTAAGTCTAAAACTCTACACCATACAGTATATGCCCACCACAAACATTAAAAATAATTATAAAAAAGGGAAATTTGTAGCGTGGATTTAACGCTGGACTGTCGACACAGATTCTGCGTTGGAGCCCACATTTCTTGCAATTTTAAAAAACTAATAATAATAATTTAAAAGTTCTCAAGTTTTGTATTTGACGGCGTTATGTACCGTGAAGTTCGTGTCGTGGCTCGGCTGACTCGCGCAAGCCAAGCCGCAGGTTCTGCACATATAATTATTCACTTTACCACACGAGCCGCCGCCAGGGAAGCCGCTTGCGTTACGAGGCTTACGCGGCGCCCCGCAACGATATAAACTCAGCGGCGGTTCATATTTCATTGTTCATCTGCAAAGGCTCTTCTGTGTTTGGTTGCGTTCACAACTTGAGCTCGTTAAAAAATGGTAAGAATTCGTCTCCACGTTTTTGCAGATTTGCGTCGTGTTGCTTGTCCTTCCTATGTTTATGCTGTTCTTGGAATGGCAGTTTGATCTCTGATTGTTTGGATTTTAGATTTTTTTTGTATTTTTCGCGAATTTGGGGTCGTACTCCGATGGAAATGGATTTATGTTTGGCACGAGTTTATTGGAGTTTGTAATGGATACACGATCATTTGATTGCTTTTATCTAGCGTTCGTGTCCGGATTGAGTTTATCGACGTTGAGACTGTTAGGTGCTAACTGGTTTCAGAAAATCAAGTTAGCTTTCTGCCTGGCTGCATAATATTTGGACTTGAATGGGCCATATTGTGATTGATTCATCTTTCCACTGCACATAATCTGTTTATTCTCTTACTTATCATTTCATTGTTTTTAACTTTTTGACTGGATGTGATGTTGAATTGTCTTCATGATCTTCGCCTTTTATTTGCAAATAAATATTGCCGATTAGCTCAAATGTAGCCTTCAGACCTTCCCCATTTGTATGATGTCTCGGCTATTGCTTTGATTGGGGCGCTTCTGATCTGATTGGTATCTGAGTGAGTCTAATAGGAATTGAAGGACTTGTTTTCGAATCGTTTGGTCCACTTTTTAACGTATCAGCTCCGTATATACCTTGGCTGATTAGGTGTTACTGAAATCAACTTTGAGATCACTTTCCAACCTGAGAAATGACTTTGGAGGATGAACAGCTAGCAGTGTGTCTCCTGGTTATCATGCCTTTTTTGTTTGAGTTTTTGTTGTTATGCCATCATGCTTCTGCAATACTTCTACTGGTGGATGTGTTAACTTTTCTTTTTATTCACTTGTGAAATTTTTATGATCCCATCATCTTCAGGCTAATGCAGCATCTGGGATGGCTGTGGACGATGAGTGCAAATTGAAATTCTTAGAACTGAAGGCAAAGAGGACTTATCGCTACATTGTTTTTAAAATTGAGGAGAAACAGAAGCAAGTGGTCGTTGAAAAAGTTGGCGAGCCAACTGAAAACTATGAGGACTTCACTGCTAGTCTTCCTGCTGATGAATGCCGCTACACTGTCTATGATTTTGACTTTGTAACTGCAGAGAATTGCCAGAAAAGCAGGATCTTTTTCATCGCCTGGTATCATTAGTAAATTAATCATTCTATTTCCCCAATCTTAATATGTTCTGCTTTACTTGTTGTTGAGACTAATCCATTGTTATACTAATTGAGTATGGTATATTTACTTATGTTCATTGTGTTTGTTATAGGTCTCCTGACACTGCTCGTATCCGGAACAAGATGATTTATGCCAGCTCTAAGGACAGATTCAAACGGGAGCTTGATGGAATTCAAGTTGAATTACAAGCAACTGACCCAACTGAGATGGGTCTGGATGTTATCAAGAGTCGTGCTAACTAAGTAAAAGCTTGTACTTTGCAGACCTTCTGCAGAAGAGTTGCTATGCTTCTTGACCTTTACTTTATAAAGGGATGCTTGTATTTTGAGGGATGGTAAACTTGGATAGGTTCATACCAAGTGCTTCCTCTTACCATTCCTTACATTTATATGGAATTATGAGTGGTGATAAATATTTGCTACTTTTGATATTCTTTGTTGGCTGTTCAGCTGTAGTTTACATGTCTGATATCTACAAGCTGATATGTAAATTTGGGGAGAGACACAAATCTGATTCCCTATTTTGTTTTGAATATGGGATACAACCTAAATCCTGCTAGGTGCAAACTTGTTATTTTCTACTTCATATCCTTTGGCATTTTGATAGGCTTAAATGATTTAGTTTTTCAGCACTGCATGCATTGTGTTTATAAATTATGATGTTGCTGCGAGCTAAATAGTGGGACAGTGGAAGAAGTTGTATTATTAATCCGTGTAAATAGGGTCCCAAAATGTATTCACTAAGCATGCATGATTCTAATCGTGAGATTTTCCACTGTTTTCTTTGTGTTCATTTGCTTTCACTGAGTTTGTAAAGAAGTGAAAACATCCTTGTCTCTCGGCTTTGAGCATATGGATATCCATACCCAAAGTAGTAAGTATCTGTCTCTTTTGTCTTAACATTCTCATGTGCACCATTGCCAACTCACATAATTTATGTTAGAAGTTGACATTAGGTCCACCTCTTTCATTCCTGAGGTGCCCTTGCTAGTTGCTAGTCCATCCCCACATGTATGTCATATGGACAATCTATTCATACTGGATACCGGTTGATTACTTCTAATTGACTGGTTGTGTTGCATTTTACTTATTTACAATCAAAACAAAACATGCATGTATATACATTACATGGGTTGAACTTGTAAAGTTATATTTATTTGTGTTTGTCATTTTAGAGTTTTACTATTATGTAAGCTTTATTTTTTTGGTGCAGAATGTAGGAGAGGATATTTTGAAGCACTAATCGACCACGGCATTGGGTGCACATTGAATGCTTAAATGGATAGAAACAGGTATATGTTGCTCTCCTTGCTTCTGTTGTTTTGTTTATACTGATTTCTTGAATAGTAAAGCTACGGCTACCTTGCCTTTCTACATTAGGCTGTCCCAAGATACAAGCACACACAAGCACCTGGACACATGTATGCATGTGTGGGTGTCTAGAAACAAGTATGATAGCTAGACTTAATCCATCCAGGCAGAATCCAGCCGTTCTCAAGCTTTCTCAGCAGCATTAACCAGTTTGTTGCTTAATTCCCATAGCCTTTTTGCCAAATCTTCACTCCTTGCAAATCTGCTTGGCTTGAACTCATTGCAGTCCACAAAGTACTTCCCTGTTACGCCTTCCAAGCTTGGGTGAAGCGCAACATAGCATGTTGTGGCTGCCCCCTGAAAATCCAAACAGAAATGATCCTCAAGTAACCCTGCAACTGCTAATTTAAACTGTTTGTACCCAACAGGGATAGTAGATAGGCCTGTACTTCTGCTCCTTGAGAATTCACACCCAAATGCTCAAAATGCTTTCATTAATGAAGCTCGTACCCAAATTATTAGAAGAATTAGGTTGTTGGAAGATACAGACAATGTCACATTCTTTTTCTGAATCTTTTTAGGCTGAGTTGATGATAGACCTAGGTACCACTTACCTGGTGGACATTCTTCCATAGTATGTTAGTCATAAACTTCAAAACCCCTGTCACCAAAGCATTTCATCAATGAAATGAAAATAGAGCCAAATTCCTAAACCAATTAATTTGTGGGAAATGATTGTAGGGATAAGATACAGTGCTACTTACTCATGAGCACTCCTGAATACCTAAACAGGTTTGTCATTATCAATCCAGGGTGCACTGAGTTGGCTGTGATATTCGCACCCTCAGCCTGAATAATAGCCACAATCTACAATTGTCAGTAACTTAAATTCCTTACATTGAAACATGTTGCATAAACAGGGAATGCCAAAGTTGTACCTTAAGTCGCCTGGAGAGCTCATTTGCATGAAGTATGTTTGCTAGTTTGGATTGTCCGTATGCTCTCTTGTCATCATAGCTGCAATTGTTCAAATTAGTTGTTGATAGCTGAATTAGCATATTCTGGCTGATAAAGCTGTTTCTAATTAGATAAAAAGGAGACTTGTGTATTTATTTATCTTTGAGAGCTCATTTGCCTGTTTTTATCGTTAATCTTGTCAAGTGCAATCCCTTCTTCATAGGTATGGATATGTGCTACTGATGAGAGGTTCACAATCCTGCCCTGGATCCCAGTAGACTTAGCCGTTTCTTTCATCTTGTGGAGGAGTAGGTTAGTCAAGTAGAAGTGGCCTAAACGGAACAGAACATAACAAAATTAGAATCAAGTACAAGTGTGTATGATTTCAGTTAATTAGCAGCAAGGATTCTAATTATAATACTACACACACCAAGATGATTGGTAGCAAACTGCATCTCAATCCCATCTTGAGACAGTTGGTAAGGACAGAACATGATCCCAGCATTGTTTCTGAAACTCAAACACACACAGATAGATGGATGAATGGATGATCTATCTATATATATGTGTGTGTGTGTGTGTGTGTGTGTGATGTGCACACTAGCTAGCTAATAACTTGAGTGAGTGAGTGAGTGAGTCAGTCCGTCTCACTCACATCAAGATGTTGAGGGGAAGGTTGAGGGCCATGAAGCTGTGTGCAAAGTCCCTAATTGATTTGAGTGAGGCAAGGTCCAGTTTGAGGACATCAACCCTGGCACTGCTGTTGTGCTGGAGAATGTGATCCTTGGCCTCACCTGCGGCCTCCATGTTTCTTGCTCCGATGATCACATGGACATTCCTTAGTGCCAAAACCCTTGCTGTCTCCAGTCCTATCCCACTTGCCCCTCCTATCATCATCATATTCATATTCATATTCATATTGTATCACATCATACAAAAATTCAGATACAAAAGACGAGGAGAAGAGAAGTATGCTAATGTTTTTACATACATTACGTAAGTACATAAAAAGTGCAACGTGGTTGTTGCATGAAATACATACATATATATATATATATATAGACACTATATGTAAAAGAGAAGTGGCAATATATTTTGATAAGCTATTTATAAGAATATTTTTATGTATCAACTTAGACAATCCAATACTATCCAATGTGGGATACTTAATGCTTCCCTTGAGATGATAATTTCGAAACTCAATACGGGCATCATGGCTCTGTTAAGATGGAAATTCAAAATTTTAACTTAAAACCAGTTGGTTGTAAATGGAGTAGCTTTAGCTCTTTATAAACAGGGGAGTCCAACGGGATACTTAACAAATATGTCTATCTAATTTGATATGGGGGAGGAGAGGGCCCATTAACAAGTGGTGGGGCGTAGGCAGCACCATGTGTTAATTTTTCAGTACAGATCACGCATTTATTGCTTTGGAATATTTTTAATTAGTAGTAGAGTAGGTTATTAGATTCGTTAGCTGCTCATGCAACCTAGACTAGACCAGACTGGACTGAACTAGACACACACGGAAAATTGGTTTCAATTAATTAATTAGGAAACAGAAACCTACCAAACTGGTATGGTGTTATATACTTACAAAACAGCAACAGCGACAGCGATAGCCACGGCACAAGTGTGCGTGTTTAATCAATCAATTCATTAATAAATTAATCAATGTTTTGATCATCACGTGCTTTATTATTATGAGTATTATATTGGCCTGGGGTCCAACCGTCTTCTTCCGCTGAAGTAGCAAGCGGTTTTGCAGGGAGAAGCAATGGAAGCTCAATTAATTATAGATATTGATGAATGAATGAATGAATGGTTTAGCAGGGGAGGGGAGGGGAGGGGAGGGACCTGTGATGATCGCGGTGAGATCGGGGGCGTGAATTTGGATCCCCTTCGTGACCTCCTCCGCGGTGGATGCCGACCCGAACCCGCTCGGCCCTGCCATTCCCGTCATCAGCCTCAACATTGTTATTGTTCTTGTGCTTGTCATTCTCTCTGTCTGTCTGTCTGCCTGTCTCTCAGTTCTGACCCGACCCGACCCGCCAGATGGATTTAATCGATCCAATTATTTGTTAATGCAAACAGGGAATTAGAGAGGAATGGAAGCAAGCAAGCAAGCAAGCAATCTACCGAGAGAGAGAGAGAGAGAGAGAGAAATATAGGGGAAATTTGAGGGGGTGGGGGTGGGGGTGGTGGGGATGGCGAGTATGGATAATGGTTGAAGGTTGGATTCATTAATTAACAATCTGTTGCATTTACTACTACCACACTACATTACATATGACCCGACCTGACCTGACCTGACCTGAGAGGAGATGACGACTGCGACTATGTATATATCATGGTGTAATAAGTAGGTGGTTAGAACTAAAATGAATGAATGAATGAATACAGTTATAAGAAAAAGAAAAAGAAGCTGCATTTGTATGCGTTGATAGATAGATTGGGAGTAGGTAGGAAGGTAGAGGTAGGTAGTATACAGATGGATAGATAGATGTTGTGTTTTTACTCTCTACGGTACGGTGGAGAGAGGACGACGCAACGTCAACGTGTGATGATATCATCATTCATTCATTGCTGTGCCTTGGATCTATCTATATATCATCAACTCCACCCTACTCGTACTCTTCGCAATGCATGTATATGCCATCCCATTGCAGGTTCTGCCGCCACCACCTCTATATATACTATAACAGGGAGGGGAGGGGAGGGGATCGTCAGCATCACATCACCCCTCCCTCCCTGCCACTCTAATCTACATCACCCATCACTAATAGGGTGGTGGTTGTTTTTGTTTTTTCTTCTCAATAATACTCCTCCATAAATAATAAACCCTAAACAACAACATTACAATTTATCATACTAATAACAAAAATACCACAAAATCCAAAATCTAAGAAAAAAATAAAAACTTTTAATGCATATAAATAAATACATTTGTTGTATGATCGGATCCAGTGATCAACATATATATCCTCAACAAAGCCTTTTCGCAAAATTAATATCTACCATCAGACAGATAGACAGAGAGAGAAAGAGAGAGGCTGCAAAGACACACAAAGCATCATCTGAGGCGAGGTGAGGTGAGGTCGGCTCGGGTCAAGATCATTTCTTCTTGGACGACCGCACAGGGACGCCTTTGTACATGTCGACCTTCTCCTTGAGGGCGTCTCTCCTGGGGCGACCCACCCTGTTGTTGGGGTCCAACAGCACCACCTCTTCAAACGCCCTCAGAGCCGATTTCAGGTCGTTGCTCTTCTCGTACGCATCCCCCAGATTGTTCCAGGCAGTCACGTACCCCGGCTGGATCCTCACCGCCTTCTCGAACTCCGCGATGCTCTTGTCGATCTTCCCATCGCGGACATAGGTCACGCCGAGGGCATTGTGCACCTGGATGGATGCAGTTGCAGTAATGAGAAAAAGATGATGATGATGATGTTAATCCAGACATGGAAACTTGTCCTACCTGTGCAAGATCTTGGTCGTCTCCATCCCACTTGTCGATTGCTTGAAGGAGAAACTTAATCGCAGCTGGGTAGAACTTTCTTCTCAGCATCACAGCTCCAAGTTCGAACAACTCTGTTGCGCTAGCATCGCCACTCCTAACTTGCTCCTGCGTAAGAAATAGAATTGTTTTAGCAGCGTCAACGGAAATAAAACTATATGAAGAAAAAGAAAGCACGCGCGCACTTGGAGCTCTTTTGCCGAAAGATCGAGCTCTCTACGAACAAGGACTTGGCGAATCACAAAGAAGGAACCGACACCAAGCAAAGCTAGAAGTAAGAGCAGGTACGAGAGCTGAATTCCCAATTCAAACAGCTCGGCAACTTGGTACAAAACATTTGCCGGTGCCGATGACGAGCCACCCTCACTCGCTAGTGCTGGATGCACGGGCGTCCACCAACAAAGCAGCGACGAAAGAAAAAGAGAAGCCCCTTCTACTCTCGGTATCTCTTCATCAGTTGACACCTTCCATGAGGCATCTGAAATAGGATGCGAGAGCATCGTATAGTTAGTTTAGCTTAGCTGCATAAGTTAATGAACCCAACAGCATGGTTTTATTCATCCTACGAGCGAGCACGAACACAAACATCGTTTTCATCCCTGAAGAATGTTGCTCTACAAATGCATATATCATGTCAAAAGAAACAAAACAGATTCACTGGGAAGGAAAGATTGTCCAAAGTGCTAGGATGCAAAATGAATGGAGATTGAATGAGAAGAGGGGATTATGATATGTAAATTGTTCATAACGTAGAATCATATAATACCTTCAACTCTAGTTAAAGTCACGGAGGAGTCACTTCTGCCTTCCTTTTGGAGTACCTATGTTTATCAACAACCAAAGATCGATTCTGCCATCAAATACGATACATTTATAAGTGTAATCATCTGATACTAGCAGAGATTTAATAAAGCATGCTTGACGTATAAGAAGAGCATGGAAAGCAAGAAGAGATATTTGAAGCAGGGGGGTGGGGTGTATTTGGCTTTATGCGTTGTTGTATGAAACTATCAGCATTTGCCGCGGATTATGCAAGTGCATCAATGTTGCAAATTGCAGACTTGGGATTCTTAAGCAAAGTAGTAGTATTACACTAACTAAAACATACTACTATTTTCTATTCAAATTTTTACCATTCTCCGAGATAACCTAAAAACACTTCAAACACACACATGGTTTTCCATTTACATTCCTTCGTTCTCACTTTGAGCCAGACCCTGTGTCTACTTATTTAGTCACTAATGTTATATTTTATTATTTTTATTAAACAAGAAAGCTCTTGCCACGTCTCAAGTAGATAGTTTATTATAACACCTATGGATACAACCATTCATGTATGTTGTACCTTTTTCTTTCTTTTTTTTTTTCTAATGAATGGTTCCTTTCGCTAATCGATGCAACCATTTGAATGTTTGTGTTTTCTCGCCAATAGGTATTGCACTTTTCGAGAAAAGTTACCAACCCTCTATAAATATTTGATTTTGGCTTAATGCAAAATGCACATCAAGCAATAAGATACGAGCAACAACTTTTCTAGTTTTTAACTCTTTTGTAATTATAAGTTCGAGCATATGTTTCACAAACCAATTGATTATCTAGTTTTTTATATCGATCCTCAATCCCTGCATTCCAAAAGAGTCAACATTTATTTAAAATGTAGATGTCATGTTGATCTTTGAAACAAAAAGACAATCCCTTTCTTAGTGATGGAACACAAGTATCAGTCCCAGATGCTTATTGCTTAATCACCAACCGAAAATTGAGGAAGAACAAAGTTAAGGTCAGGTTTAAAGTATCATTTTCCTGCCTAGAAATGTGATCCATAGACTATTCCACACACATGTTCTGTTTCTATTAATCTTTGTTTTATGCCAGTCGTAAGTAGTGAGTGTTTAAGAACAAAATACATTTACACTGATAGTATCCTGATGTCATCAATCTAGTAATAAACTTGCAATTTTAAAGGATGTGTGGAGTTGACTGAAAAACTAAAACTGAAATATATTACATAAAATATTAAATAAAGACCAATAATATGTTAAATGTAAGCCAGAATGTGCAATTAAAGAATAAAAATGGTAAAATGTGAAAAAAAAAAGAAAAAAAAAAGAAGATATCATAGCATAACGTACTTGTGCCATGGCTTGTTGCACCTTGATCAGATCATCATTCATTTCAAGAACAGTTTGCTCCAATATTTTCTCTGGGTCCTCAGAGGTGCTTATGAGGGCGTTTGCATATGCCTAAACTTAAGAAAAGAGAAAAAAAAATCATATTAAATAATGTTTAGTTGGTTAACCAATGAATGAGGCCCATAGCTTGCAAAAGAATGACATGAATACCTTAACAACCCTGGCAAACCTATCAAATAGTTTCGTTCGAGCAGCAAGAGCATTCCCTCTGCAACCAATACATTTTGATCTACTTGAAAAAGAAAGTTGCAGTCCTGCATAATTTGGGGCACCCACTGCAGAAAAAGAGACACTCCAACATAAATACAGGAAAAGAGTTCATATTTAGCCCATTACTAGTCAGGGAAAAACATATTTAAACAACCAAATAAAAGTAAAAATAGCAGAAGAACATCCGGACACATATATAAACTCTAAACTCATTGCCATCCACTGAATGCTAAAGGTAGTATTATGTCAAAATATCAAATAGGTTTGCTGAAGGTGGCACAGCATAAAGAAGAAAATTGAATAGCTGTAAAAATTTACTATTTTCTACCTGATATGTTTTATTGAATTGATCATTTTCAAAATATTCTACAAATATTTTAAATCAAATACTATATAGGAAGACTTAAACAAGCATATCTCATTCAAAATCCCAAATCCCACCAAAACTGAACAGTCATCTGAGATGCCCAAACAAACGCACCATGCCCTTTTGCTTAGAAACTAAAGAATTCAGTGATAAAAGTAAACTAACTGTAGTTTACACCAGGCTAGAAAAATTTTATTCGACCATCAATTAGAAGCTCTTCCACACAGCACACCATGTAACGACGAAGCTGTCACGTTACATCAACTCTAATTTAGCGAGAAAACTTTACATGTAACCAATCAACAGCCGAAACAACCCCTGACACTACCATTGTGAACCATTCTGAATAGGGTTGCATCTACAACCCAAATTGGAATTTCTGCTCAGCAACACTAAAAGCACTGCAAGGCGTGGAATTAATTACCTCCATTGCCAAAGAAAGGTTGCCTGAAAGGCAGTGATTGCACAGCAATGGCCCCTCTATTGCACGCGGGAGCTGAGGAGGGGGAGGAAGCCATGCTGATCCCTGCCATGGACGCCCTTACCGCTATAACCATCAACTACGAATCCCTGAACTTGTCTCTTCTCTGCGAGAGCAGTCAGCCAGAGCCTCCCAAAGAGAAGGAACCCTCTAAAAATAGCTCGGAATCGGTGAAAACAGAAGAGAAGTGAATCCCTCAGAGAAATTCTACAATTTGTTTGTTAACGTGAGCTGTGGTTTGATGGCTAAGGTAGGATCAGATTTCACATTTTTATTTTTATTTTTATTTCTTTATAAAATACTACTAATAATTATTTATTTTTATTTGGACGCCGGGCAAGATTTCTACAGCCCGGAAATTCAGGCCTTTATATGGGCTGGGCTGGGCTGGGCTAGACGGGTCAGCCCAAATTTATAGGCCAGTTGATTTGATTGATACTGATGGGTTCAGAAATCAATGGGTCGGAATGTCCGACGTACAACTTAAAAGTAGTAGTATTTATTAGTATTAACTCGGTAATAATAATTTATTTATTTTCTCCAACATTTAAGTCATTTCCCTAGAAAAAACAATTTATTTTACAACCTTAGATTCTGTTTCTAAGTTTTGGGATTATAATGTCTTCTACAATACAACTTGATAACAATCGAAAATTTATTTTCAAGTGAACCTATTTCTTCCCCCCCCCCCCCCCCCCACCCCACACTGCTCCAGTTACTGCCCTCCTACTTGTATAATTATACTAATGAATTTTAATAATAATAATAATAATAATAATAATAATAATACATGCATATGATATTCTCCATTCAATAATAACAATAAGAGAAGTAGAACCAATGTAGTGCAACCCCCCCCCACCCCATAGCCAGCCATATCATCATCAACTACAACCATAGATGAGATTAGTTATGAGGTGAGGTGCACCACAATTCAATTCAAATCCAATTTTACCAGCACAACTTTAGCTTCACTCGTTCAATTCTAAAAGGAAAGAAAAGATCGATGGTAGCAGAGTAGGAGCAAGGACCAATCATCATCGACATCTCATCTTTCTTACTCAGCTGAGACACACACACTCAAATGTTATAAATGTAAAGAGGATTCTGATTCTGCCCCGACAAGACTGTCGTCGTCGAGCCCCAAAGCCCCGGATTCCGCCTTCAAAGATTTCAAGTATCGAATTGCCTCATCAATAACATACACTGCACCTTTACCATTATTCACACTTGGGTTTGGGATCAGTCTCTGCAAAATGCTCAGAGTCTCGCGAATTCTCTCTTTCCTCCATCTCTTCTTCCCGGACTGCCAGGATTCCAACTCCTCCTTCTCATCCTCCAAGGAGGGCATCGACCTTTTCCAGCTGTCCCTATCCTCCCACTCCCCATATCCTTCTCCTCCATCCAACAGTTTTTGCCTTTTGGATTGGGGGGTTACCACCAAACTGTCGACTTCTTCACCAGTTTCAGATTCCTCGACTGGATCATGCACGCCATTGTCCGTCATTGAGCTGGGCGAATGGCCAGTGCTCGCTTCTTCATTATCATCACTTGTAAAATCACTGTTTCCATCAGAGCACAGAAGAGCGTTCAGTTCTTCAGTGTCTTCTTGCATTTCATTTCTTGACTCATCATCATCCCCTATGCTCTCATCAGCAGTGTTTGCTCTCCAAAGGTCTCCTCTAATCCTCTCCGGATCTTTACTGAAGATATAACTGGTCGGGGGATTCTCAGTCCCCTTAGCTCCACACTCAGACAGTGTCTGAACTCCAGAACTATATATCAAGGTGGTCTTGTGGCCGGAATGATCAAATACAAGAAATTGCTTCCGATTATGAGCAATGCCTGTAGAAGCAGGGGCTGCACGCTGTCCGGATTCAAATAGACCAGTGAGAAGATTCTCCTTCGGTGCAGCATTTAGAGTCTTGTAGAGATCCGGTACATGGAACAATCTGTTCTGTGTGTCATTCAGTTCACATACCCTCGATTGTCGAAACTGAGAAACTGGAAACAATGGAGCAGCTCTCACCAAGGAATCCTTGGCAGAGTTAGGATCGGTGAGAACCGGGCCAGCATTTGAACAACCCATGTCGAAAGGAGAATGGGATGAATTCAGATTAGGCAATGAAAGATGCAGCTGCTGGTTATGAAATCCGAATCTAAAATCCTTCTCCATTAATGCACACAATGACCTGAGAGTCAGAAAGATCGGTGTTCACAGGATACATTGAAGAGAAAAGAATAAAAAAGTAGTACAGCAGATGCGATCGTACCTAAGAATATCTGTTCGGATGTTGTATCTTTGAATGAAAATTGAAATAACTAAAGAAACTCCGGCGGAACTTGAATGGACGGAAAGGAAAATCAATTACGTGACAGGTTTAAGCAGATGGCGGAAATACTCAGCCTGAAATACATAATGAGAAAAAACAGCATAAATATTTCTCGGATTCATATATAGTGCAAACAAGCAAGCACAATACTACATTTAGATTCAATGAAATTCCAACAACAAAAGCTAACTCTGCCATTTCAGTAAACATAGCCTACTAACCTGGCAATCGTGGAGGGGTTGGAAGCATGCAATGACTCTAACTACTATGGTGGCAGAACCGGCAATTCCACTCTCGTGTTTTAAAGCCCGAAATCTGGTTTGGCTAGCTGCTTGGCACACCATAACTACTCTTCCCCACTAGGTCACTTTTGAATACAAAGTGATGAACCAAAAGGCAATTTGAAATCTCTAACACGAAATAAGGAAAGGTTTGGATAAAAATAACTACTCGGTCACAAGTGATTCTGAGTCTTCCAACCGAAGATGACGAAGGAAGGAACAGAATTCAATCGACCACAATTAACAAAAAAGATGGAAAGTCCTACAAAAGACAAGGAGTTATGCAAAGAACGGGCTAAAGAACTTTGAGAAACACTCAGTTTATCCGGCAAGGAAGAACAAGAAATCGAGTAGATCCCATGGAAACAACTGTATGTGTAATCTAGGAGTGGTGGGAAAGGAAGTAAGGTAACGAAATATTGACACAACTTTACAGAATCACATGGCAGTATAAGTTGAGCGAGGTAACTTTACGAAACACGGACAAACTGCACCACCGCATACTGTTCTTCAACTGGATAGATCGCCACTTCTTACTGGATTCAAGAGCCCCCAACCCTGACAGCATTTTGAGACAAAAATATAGTTAGATAATTAATGAAATGCGATTAAAAACCTTCCCAACTCTCAAGCTTTTTGTATGTACAGGATCAAACTTTTACCATGATTGAATTCCCAAACGATGTAATGTTGTATACATCCAAGAAGGGAAGTCGACATTAGTATACACTTATATAAATGAGATTAGCAGAATAATCACAGATACAGGGTAGAAATTTGTTGTGACAATAAATCCGTTCTAATACTCCATACGATAAGCATAAAAGCGTACAAATACTGCCACATCATTTGCAGTCAGAGCATTCATGGTTGAAGGAAATAATTTAGCAACAGAAGCATAACAGCACGTTTCCCTAAGAAGAAATCTCAGATATCAAGCTTCGTACAGGTTTAGAGCCTCAGCCAACAGAACAACTAGATTAGAAATCGGATCTTGCGCATGTGTATATACTTTCTGAATGAAATCGATGAATAAAAAATCACACAGATCTGATGAGAACAAAGAAAACAAGATTCACCGCAAACAGCTTCGATAGCGAAACAAATCAACACAACATTCTTCCACAGTAGTACAACTCATTGCACAGTAAAAAATGCAGACATTAGAAATGAATAAATTACTTACAGTTACCCGGAAAATCCCACTGGCACCAGAGACTCGGGCAGCAGTACAAATCTTACGAAGAGGCTTCCGCTTGCAGAGAAAGGAGGAGAAGTAGCAGTGAGCTAAAACCCGTGTACAATTAAGGCGAGGGGAGGGGAGACAGATGAAGGCTATATAGAGACGACAAATTCATGGGCACTGCACGAAACCAGATTGAGAACAGCACAGCGCATTTAATTTATTTTTTTTATAGATATATTCTTTTCCGGTGCCGGTGGTGTTAGGTTTCGTATTTTCGTGAATTAGTGTGCCAAACGTGCGAGCAATCATGCTTTGCATGCGTGCGTGAGCACTGCACTGTACTGCTACGCGAATCGGTGGCCCCGCTGCAGCTGGTGGTTGTGCGATGATGATTCCCTCCCTCAATTGTTGGCCTGATGATGATGATCATAAACCCTAAATTAAATACATGTCTCTTGTGTGTCCCTTTGCTAAATTTAATATAGCTGCATTTACCTTGTGTGAACTCCATGGACCCCAAAGCCGCGTGTCCCCACACATTTCATCGGACGGCATCGACCAGCGTGGCGTTGAAATCCCGGGAGTACACAAAGATTGAAAACCATTTATAGCCGTGATTTGAAATTCGGAGAAGGGCGTTTGGTCCCCGAGGCTAGGTTGACTAAATTCCAACGACATAATTATTTTGTTTTAATTTTTAATGTTTTCGTAAATCTTCTCAAGTGATGCTAATTTAAATGAAGGAAGGATTATATTTAAAGAAATGGATATTTTATAATACATGAAGTATAAAGGTATAAAACAAAATGTATGTATGAATTCAAAACACATGATACTGAATTAAATAATAATATATATATATATATTTAAATAGCAAAAAACACTTTGAAATAATGGAGTATTTGAAAGATGAAACAAACGTATCCATCCATCCTTGAAATATACTATAATAGTAGTAAAAAGAAAAGAAAGAAAGAAAGAAATGAAAGAAAGTCGAAGTCGAAGTCGCTCGTGGATCAATGATAACTTTAGAGAAGTCGTGGAAGATAGGAGTATTTCATTGTTTCCTCCGCCCCGCCCCACACAACATGCCGTGAATTTCTCCACGCCTACGACTGCCCTATAAATAAATAAATAAATGTCTAGGCTTAGGGGAGTAGGGTATTGAGTAAGTATTTAACCACCGATCAATAAAAACAATTTCCTGCCCTGCCCCAAGATCTTCGGCTCTGTCCGCCAAGATTTTCACACACACTCTGCTCTCTGCTCTCTGCTCTCTGCTCTCTGCTCTGCTCTATTTAAAATAATAATCATCATCATCATCATCATCATCATCATGCTTCCTCTAATTTACTATTTAGTACTAATACAGAGAGAGAGAGAGAGTTATTTGTTTATTTAATTGATTAATTAGTCTGTCTTAACTCTTAATAGTTTTGGTTAATAAGTTAGGGATGTGGTTTGGATTGGATGGCCCATTTGGTTCACTAACTCCCTAATTGCCAGTATTTGACTTATACATATCTTTCATTAAATTTAAATTAAATGGGATATGGCGTCACGCGGCCCGTACCCTATTTTCATTTTAATTACTACTCCAGTATTTAAGTATTGGTCATTTGGTGAGATTATTTGCATATTTGGTGTGGACACAGTCAAATGTCGTCCTTTTGACTATCGCTTTCCATTGAAACCTGCTCCTATTATTATTATTATTATTATTATTATTAGGAAAAAGTCACACGTTTGTTGATGCCTTGGAATTACACCTCCGACGCTTTTTTTTTAATAAATTATTATTATTATTTTAATGTATTATATTTTAAAATTAAATGTTAAGTACAAGATTTTATTTTATTTTTCCTTATAAAGATCTACCAAATATCCATACAAATTTTTGAGTTTATTTGATTTTAATTTCAAACTAAAAATACTATTACTATTCAATACTAAAAATATAATATTTTCTCCACAAAATATCACACTAAAATATTTTTAAAATAAAAATAAAAATTCAAATCATAACCAAACAAACTCATCCATAATTATTTTATTTAAAGAAAACATAAATAAACAAAAAGACACAGAAAAAACAAAAAAAAAACATAAAAATCCTGGAATATTCGAAAATAAAAAACAAATAGAAATAATATAAGTAAACAATCCCTTGATTTTAAAGATACTTTTCTTTGATATTTCAAGTATCGTTTCGTACAAACACAATTGGTTGTTTTTTGTTTGGGTTTGTGCAATAGTGATATAAATGATTTAAGAGTGTACTTAGTTATCGGTTCAAATTAAAATTAAAAATTAGATTAAATAAAATTAAAAAATATATTTAATATTTTAAAATTTACATCTCAATAAAATATATATATTTACAACATAAATACCATTTTATAAACAATAAATTTTGTAGTATTTTTTTTTTATGCCGAACCTAATACCGTGCAAACTAGACCAGACAGCAAGTCACACTAAACAAATCTCACGGTCACACATCAACTCCTAACCACCGGGACATAATTTTCTATTAAAGCTATATTATAAACATCCATTCAAATAATATTTTATATATTTTCAAAATAAATATCATTTTATAAACAATAAATTTTTATAAGGTACAAACATACAAAAAAAATTGTGTTTTGATATATATATATATATATATTTCAAATAAATAGAGTACGCATATATTATCTAAAACTCAACATTGAGAGCAATAGAAATGAAACCACCTCAATAGTTCCTTGCTGCAACTATTCAACACAATCAGAATGGTTTTATTTCAACAATTTGCAACCCACAATTCAAATCCTATTCAGTTGGACATCATCAAACACTCCACACTACTCTCAATCCATTAGAAGAAGAAGTCTCTTTTCACAAATATTTCACAGGTAATGAATGTAAGAATAGAAGAATTGACCATCATAATCAAATATCGAGAGTTACAGCCTCACAAAAAGGCAAACAGTTGGAACAAAATATCTACTTCAGTAGTTTTTTTTAAGTGATAACCAAATGAGGCCCAAAATTGTCTCCAATTCAATTTTATAAAGCAGCCATTCCACCAGCAAGAATAATTAATGCGTCGTGTTCTTGAAAATGGAGGAACTAAATTACTGAAAACTCAGGCAAAGAGTTGTTACCAAAATCAAGGCTTGAAGGCTATGGAGAGCCCAAACTTAGGAGCTGCGTTTGCGGCCTTTGTGTCGTACTCTGTCGATACTGTTGCAAAGGATTTCGGTCTCCACTCCCGCTGGGTTAACACGGCAAGCTTCCCACTGTAGGAGAGTCTGGTTTTGACTGATGTGAAAGCATCAAGTTTATGGATGCTCCCAATGCTGAAGGTGTTCTCAGACCCGGACAGGCTGTGGGTCATTTCAGCAGCAACCTCAGTTCCAGTTAACGGGTTGACTAGATGCACATAGGAAGCCTTCACGGTTTGCCCCTTATCAGCTCTGCATCATAAATGAAATGGTATGCATTTATATATGTAAACAAACACAACAGTAATATCTTCCTATCCATCAGCTGAAAACTGTAGGAGAAGTGGCTATTTAACATGGAATCAAATCTGCATTAACAACTAGTTGATGTAAGCGTTTCACAACTATGCCAATGTGGACATGATGAAAATATTAAAATTTAAGTAAATATAATTTCCATGATGAAAAGATGTTCTCAGGATGCATGATACATGAAGAGGAGATATGCAGAAAAGAGTAACAAAAAGGCTTTGGAAACCACACATCAATAATCTCCTCAATCTAATATAATTAGATCAAGTTTTGGATCTAAAGTGGTTACTTCTTTTCATACAAATCTAAAAATAAAATTGGACATTCAATTCAGTAATTCAAAATTGGGAAAAAAGGAAGGGTTCAAACTGAATTTCTGTTAACAGAAGACAAAAAGAAAGAAAAGAAAAGAAAAAAGAAAAGCATATTTGGTTATTTGGTGAAAAATATATATAATTACCGAATTCACAGATTCCACATCTTAGTTTTGAATAGAATAGCAAAGCACGTCAAAATTTTCATATTCAAAAATTATTGATCTAAATTTACCATGTAATCAATCTTGCATCCCAACCATGCCTGTACGGAAATATGTGTAAAGGGAGACAGAAATAGAGAACATTACATACAGTATGACAGCTGCTGAAAAGTCTGGCTTGTTGAAGCTGATTCCAGCATTACACTTTGTAAAAGACGAAGTGGAGGTATCGAATCCAATTTCACCCCCAACAGCTAGATCATTAAAGCCTGTTGCTGCAGCAACCTCTAGAAGAGGACTTGGGTGCAGGCCAATGCTGGAATTGATGACAGCATGACGGTGATTGTAATGCACATCAAGCTGCAGAAATACCTTTTGTTGGTGAATACCCAATCCATAATGCTTGTACGAAAGAATATGCTCAATTAGGACAAGCAGTTTCAGTTTTCACATTTATCTATTATGGTTGTAAATGTTACCCATAATATATAGTAGAAGACAGCCATCTTCCAGCAAAAACAAAAATTAGCCATCTGTAGAACTTCATGGTTAACATGCTGACGTCCTGCTAATACTTTTTACAGAAATAACTAAATCTGATTGATGTAACCACAGGCAGTAGGCAAATGTTAATAGGATTTCCAATCCCTAATAAAATTTAAATGATCACTTTAATCATCTCTTGGTATTTTAGAAAACATAACACTTTGCTTTTCGATTTCTCCTGGCTAATAACATATCTGAAATAGGCAACCTCCACAGTAATGAGCGTCTTAAGCGTCAAAGCTTTACAAGAAAGCAAAACAATTACCTTTCCAGATTTGTGATCAGGAACACTAAAGCTTATTGCTGCTTTTGTACCAGGTGCCCAATCATAAGTCACCTTGGTAGAAACCTGCAAGTAAATGAATCACACAAGTAGCATTACCATAATGCTAGAAAAGAAAATCATTCAAGCAGTGTACAGATACACAAACACATATATAATAATGGTTGACCATTGTCGTACTAGACTGATGAAAAATGTTACTTCACATCCCTGTTATTTAGTGAAAAGGGAACAGACTTTAATGAAGGAGAAGAGACAATTCTAGTCTGTCTCACGAGGAAAAAAAAAACCCTACTTCATATTCTGTTGAAAATGACTTTGGCATCAGTGTCCCAGTGGCTGATTCCATCTCTGTTCTTTGTCGTGGTCCTTGGTTGCCACTAACCAATTTCCATCACCTTCGAGATTTTTTGAAGTTTTTCTCGTTTGATTCTATTAGTTCCCCCTTGTTCCAGTTTATATACTTCAATCATTTTCCTCAGTACTTTTTATATTTAGAATGTTTATCCACATGTACCTTTGTAATTGCATTCTATATACATATATACCATTACATACATGCTGTTATTTTAACTAACAACATAACCATATTATGATATGTTAGAAATGTTAAGTCAAATAGTTTTAATATGAATTAACGTTGTGTGCATTCTATTAATATTGAAAACAGAATTTTTTTATTATATAAATTCATTTTTCTTTTTTAAATTTATTCAATATCTCACTGTGCAGCACCATTCAGCCAGTCACTTGCTAAACCAAAAATAACAAATATCTCTACAACAAATGTTTTAGAATTTTGCAAAAATTAAAAAAAAAAGGAAAAGAAGTTCTTGGTCTTACGCTAGAATATGTATCAACTTTAACATCGACAGTAGTTTTTCCGCTTTTGTACTGTGTACTAATGTCACCAATGAAGATTTCATCTTTCTTCACTCCAGTGGCAGTAAAGCCCTGTCAAAATAATAGAAACATCTATTATATTTATTTTCCATTGAATAAAAATATGTACTTTAAGGTATTAGGCATGTCGCACATGCAATCTACTAGTACCATTTCAATGATTGAATCAAAGAAAAGCCAAAATAAGTAACATAAATAATCTTCTGATGATTCAAAGTCAACCACTTCAAGCATGGTATTCCATCCTTATTTTGTAGCATGTACAATATGATTTTTTAAGGAAAAAAAAAAAAAAAAAAAAGAGTTAGATATGTTGTTTCTTTAACCAGAGTCCAAAAGGGTTTTACGTGACAAAGAATGGTATTACTTTTATAACACAACCTTGAATGTAAGAATAATGTCATGCTGGTCCTATTGACAGCTCACGCATATCATGAAAATAAAAATGAATTATTGACAACAACCTTAAAACACAAACAAAAGATAAAATTTTATATTACCATTCCAGTAGAACTTGGAATTGCAAGGGAGAACTTCTGATCATAATTGTAATCTTTAGTCAAAAGATCTGTAAATATGTACTTATGTTAATTTAGAATGGTGTGATACTAAAGCAAGACAAATACAAGGCCAAATAATCAAATATTTAAATAAAAAAATGTACTCCCTCCGTCCGAGACACTTATGCCTGTTTTTCATTTTTAGTTGTCCGCTAAACTTATGCAATCTATTTATAATAAATAACTTTATCCACTTATAATTTTATTACCTTACTTTATCGAATAATAACCAATATGCTATTACTCTATCTTTTATGAACTATTTAATAATTTTCTATAATACTATTACTTTACTTTTTACTTACCTTCTTTTATATTAAAATACTATTATTCCTTAGTATTCGTTCTAAGACAAAGTGGCATAAGAAGCCCGAATGAAGGGAGTAACAAATAAGCTTTCAATATTGGTCGGGTGGTTAAGCAAGAGCTTAATGACTATCAAATGGTATTGAAATTCAAATTGCAGCCAACACCCTACACTTGTTGAACGTATGCTTCAAATGTTGCCGTGCTATCTGAGCTCCAGTAGTGACTAAGCAAGGTTTCTGCCTATACACTTCTAAAATATTTCGTTATCACTTGTTTGTAACTAAAATAAAATTCTTTATTATTTTGATTCATCATTAAGTCTTATCTAACAATTTGGTGTAACCATTCAAAAAAGAAGAGAGTTAATTTAGCGTGATTTGCACATCAGGGACATAGTTAGTTTCAAAATAAATTGTATGAATTCTGCTGAAAATCAAAATGATTGGGAGCATTAAACCAAACAAAATTCTCTCTCGATACATTCCTCTAAAAATCCAATTTGTTCAAAGGAATCTAAGCTATTATAATAGAGCAGCTTCTACAGTTTGTGCTGCTGGAAGACAAAAAAATCACGTATGAATCACCAGAGAAAATAAACAGTTAAAAAACAAATATACAGAGACCTCAGAAAAAAAATAATAATAATTCATAAAGGAGACATTAGAGATAACGTAAAATCTAATGGTTATCCAACACAGAAAAATAACAGCTACCTCTTGCACGCCGGCCAATTTCCGAAAATGGAGCCGGACCGTTTCCCATGGCCTGCTCCTTTCACAAAACGAAACACTTCGGGAAAAAAGTCCAAACTTCTATAAAAAAAAAAAAAAAAAGGATGACTATTCATTATTACAGCTATACAACAGAGTGATGTGATGTCATCAGGTTGCCACTGCAATAATTGAGAAAAATTAGAAGTTACACCTCTTCTAAAAAATACATTGTCAAACCATCCTGATAACCGCCATATCAAGTATAACAATTTTAGTCACAATAACTTGGAACTCCTAAATTAACGAACGAAATTTCATCAATTGCACAGGATGAATGTGACACACTAAATATTTTAAAAACTAACACATTCGAAAACAGATGGCCATCAAAGAAGCACGGTTAACGCAATCCTGGAGAAAAACAAAAACAATTCGGCCATTGGACACTGGAAAAGAATTGAATATCGAGCACAGTTAAGTGCAGCTAGGTTTAGTGCAATGTATCACATTATGATTTGTCAAGAACCCACAATCACAAAGGCTTAAAAGATGAGATTTACAGTTTCTAATTCGTTTGCTAGCCGGGGCCCAAATATCACAATTTTTGAACACGATCATATGTATGTATCCATGCCCGAATATCACAATTACAATAACAAAGCTACCACAAACCACAGGATCCAAATCCAATTCACAGATTTTTAACCTTTAACAGCACAGGATGCACACGAACAAGTTAGCGACCAAAAACACAAGGCAAAACAGATTTGGTGGTGCTTCACCACAATCCATGGGCTTCAAGAATATCAAATCTAAAGCCCATGTACCCAGAAACTTGAACTTAACAGCAATATTCAGCACCAGGACATTAATAGACCCGCTCAATTAGAATCGAAAACTACAACAATCCAGAAAAGTTGCCAAAAATCAAAGGCATACCAGCAACAAGAAGATCTCGCAGCAAATCCACGGCGGAACGACACGATTCGGAGGTCCGAGACCTAGGGTTCCGAAGGCCGAGACCCTCGATCGGCAAATTGGGCTTGCAATTGGACCCGCGCAGAGATCGAATTCGAAATGGATAGGGTGGGTTTGTTTGTTTGTTGGCGGAAAACAAATGTACAGTATATTACTATTAAACCAGTTTGGATATGGACTTTGAGGTCCGGTCCGGCCGGTCCGGTCCATCTACTTTATCCATATTCATATTAGGTCGGGCTACGCGGCCCGTTCCCTTCCTTAATAAACTAGTTTCATTATCATCAATATCAACCGCCAAAATTTGCTCCAAGTTGTATTTATCTTTTCTATTTATCAGTTCACGTAATTATTTTTATTTAAGACATTCAAATAATTTAAAATATTATGAAATATTCATCATCTCTACTCCACTGAATTGTTGAGACAAGATGACAAAGATGTTGTTGAATTGTGCATTAATAAATGTATTTTACCGTGACATATCTAAATTGAATTATAGTATTAAATATTTGAACGATATAAAAAAATATTTTAAATTTTCCATCCGAATAAGTCATCCTCACATACACTTAAACATTCAATTAATAATGAATAGTTGATACAAATAAACTTACTTAAGCAAATCAAAAAACAATTCTAACTTAATTAATTAGTAGTATAACTTAATTTATTAAAAAAATTAAAAATAGCAACAGAACAGAAGAGAGCTCACACTTGTGTGGTAGTGGAGTATATTATAGATATACAGAATATGTAGGTAATTAATTAGTTGCCCACGACTACCAACGCATAACTATAACCGAAATAAATAAAAATGAAATAAGTAGTAGTATATAGTACCAACGAATTTAATTTAATTGGAAATAGGTGAAAATGAATTCCGTGAATGCATGAATGTATGTATGTATGTTAATGTCATCGTAGACGTGAAGAGCAGTCGCCACCATTTGTGTTGATTCCATTTGATTTGCTTTTAATGCTTTGCTTTGTTTGATTGATTTGTGTTTACACACGAATTAATCAATCCATTTGGAACTCTCTTTCCCTTTCCTTTCCTCTCTTCCGATTCCGTTTCCGTTTCTCTTCCCCTTCCCCTTCCCCTTCCTCGCCGTCGATCCCTTTGCTCAACATTCAACCGGAGGATACGATTCGATTCGATGAGATATAATAATAATAATAATAATAATAATAATAATAATAGGTGGTAATCAAATCGCATTCATTTGATTTCCTGTTCCGATTCGGTTTAATCATTGCGAATTGCGCCAAGATCGATGATGAACAAGAGGAGGACGCTAACCATGGATTGGGATGGTTTGGGGGACGACGACGACGACGACGACCGCTTCTTCGAGTCGTGTCCGCGGGTTTCCTCGGCCGATTTGTGTTCGTCGGACTCGGATGATGGCGAAGATTTCGAGGATAGTCGGATGTCGTTCGCTTCGGCGGTCTCTACGGTGTCGAAGAAAAGCCTCCACCCTGTGGGATCCTTCGCAAAACCCCAACAATCGATGTTGGCAGGGTACGATATGTGGATGTCTGAGCCAGGGGATATCAGAGAGCGCCGCAGGCGTCTTCTACAAGGCATGGGCCTCGCAAGCACCAAACAAATGATGAGAATCGCCAGCCGGAACGAAGGCGCAGAAGCTGCTCCTGCAGCTTCACCGCTTGTCGATTCGCGGCCGACGGTTAAAGGAACCAGACGAGACGATGAGCCCGTCTCCATCTCTTCCTCTGCTGCTGCTTCACCGCCCGTCGTCGATTCGCGGCCGACGGTAAAAGGAACCAGACGAGACGATGAGCCTATCTCCATCTCTTCCTCCGCTTCCGCTTCTCCCTCTCCTTCTCCTTCTTCGCCTCCACATTCATGTCCGCGTCCAACTCCAGCTGCTACGCTTGTTAGATCTAGGTCAGATGGTGATATTGTTGCCTTCTCGGCCAAATCCAAGCTTAATAAGATAGATGAACGAGGAGGAGGAGGAGGAGGAGGAGGAGGAGCAGGCCCTGTTACATCCAAACACAGACTATTAACTAGAACTACATCAGAGATTGTGGTACCAGTCGGACGTCGTGTGTGCGGCTACTCGAGTAATTCCGATAGAATGATGTCCGCAGGCGCCGGAAGATCGTCGAATCCAACCAGCAATTCATTAGAAGAAGAATCTGATGGTGCATTCTGTGCATCTTTTCTGATAAAGAATTTGGACACGGGAAAAGAGTTCGTGGTGAAGGAACAGGGGTCGTGCAACAAGGTGAGTGATATCCAGACCGGGAAGCAACTAACCATGGAGGAGTTTGAGAAATCTGTTGGATTCTCGCAAGTGGTGAAGGAGTTGATGAGCAGGCAGAATGTGGCGAGAGGTAATCCGGACGACAGGAAGATCAACCATTCCTATTTGAGCAAGAGCTTCAGAAACAGCAAGAAAAAGGGAGCTGCAATCTTGAAGAACATCAAGGGAGTAGCAACTGCAATCCGGCACGATCATAAAGAGCACGACTACGACTCCACCGAAGATCATAAGCCCCCCAAAGCCACATCGAAATGGGTGAAAACTCGCCAACACGGCAAGACCTGTAAAGAATTCACAGCACTGCACATGACTCAAGATATTCAGGCGCATGATGGTCCAATATGGACGATCCGATTCAGCAGCGACGGACAGCTCCTGGCCACTGCAGGGGAGGATAAGGTGATTCATGTCTGGGAAGTGCAGGAATGTGAAGTTATGTCTGCGAGTGGCACGCCGCTTCATTCCACGGCTGCCGTTGCTTCTTCAGACCGCGCCCCACTTGCAGAAATAACACCTTTGCCTTCTGACAAGTGGAAAAAGATTCGAAGCTACAGGAGAAAGGGCAACTCGATCCCAGACCACATCAATGTGCCGGAAACTGTTTTCGCACTTTCGGAGAAGCCAATTTGCTCTCTCGAGGGTCATCAAGAGGATGTTTTGGATCTTTCATGGTCGAAATCCAAGGTCAGCTTCTACCAAATTTCATTATCTGTGAGGCTGTTGAATCTCAGCCACGGAATTGTTAACGAAGCTGTTAATCCCTGCAAGAAGTTAAGTTTTCTTAGAATCAACTCACCGCTTGCAATTGGTTTTCGGAAAACGGTTGATCCTCCTTGTCTTTGCAGCTCTTGCTGTCATCTTCAATGGATAAGACAGTTAGGTTGTGGGATCTAGAAAGCAGGACATGCTTGAAAGTGTTTGCACACAATGACTACGGTGAGAAGTCCGAAAATCATTGATAATGAAGTTGTTTCCATAGTATAGTATTTGGCATGGATCACAGTTTGTACACCTAATGAGTTTATGATATGGCAGTAACTTGCATACAGTTCAATCCAGTCGACGACAATCACTTCATGAGTGGTTCGCTGGATGCCAAGGTCCGTATCTGGAACATACCCGATCATCAGGTCGTGGACTGGATAGATCTCCATGAAATGGTCACTGCAGCAAGCTACACCCCTGACGGCCAGGTAATCTCGATCATGCATCCGCATCATCCCTTACATTGTTGTCTCGATCTGCTCTCTCAACACTCAAAACTAATTTCAGGGTGCTGTGATCGGCACTCATCAAGGGTACTGCCGATTCTACACTATAGATGGTAACGAAACGAACTAACCGAACCAACAGCTGCTAAGTTGACTCCTCCACCTCCTCTGTAATGAAAGAGCGTCTCTTCTCTTACCTTCATTGATCCATCCCATCGCAGATCATTGCAAACTGGAGTGCAGCAGCAGCGTCCGAATGCGCACCAAGGCTCAAACTAAGAAGCTCCCCGGTTTTCATCATTCTCAACCACAAACCAACAAAATCACCGGTTTTCAGGTACACTCCACTCCCTCGATCGCCTTCACTGATACAATTCGTAATGAGATTAATTGCTCCTTCTAATGAATTGTTTTCTGCAGTTCAACCCATGTAATCCGTCCGAGGTGCTCATAACCTCCACGGATTCCCGAATTCGACTCCACAACGGATCAGAGCTGGTCCAGAAATACAGAGGCAAGATACACACATTGATAGATCGATAGATTGATTCGTCCACTACTACCATTAGAATTGGACTTAGAGTTTTTGCCTTCCCTGGCAGGGTTCCGGAACACGAGCAGCCAAATAGCAGCATTCTTCAGCCCGGACGGGAGACACGTGGTGAGCGCGAGCGAGGACTCCCAGGTGTACATATGGAAGGTGGAGGAGTCGAAGCCTCAGGGGCAGGGGGCCGACAAGAAAAACCGGGTGACTGTACAGGCTCACGAGCACTTCCACTGCAAAGACGTCGCCCTCGCTGTCCCCTGGCCCGGCGCCGCCATCCGGAACGAGCCCCCCCTGATGGTGGACCTAAGCTCCAAGCGCCACTCCAGGCGCATCGCCACCCCGCCCTCCCCCACCCACGACCCAGATAGGAAGCAGAACAGTCTGCTGCCCCCACTCCCACTCCCACTCCCACTCCCACTGCCCGGCCGGAAAGCCAGCAGCGTTACTGCAGATCAGGATGATTTGGGGCAGTCCGGGAGGATGGACCCCGCCGGAATTGGTGTAGCCAGCAGCAGCAGCTCCTCGTTCGACGGCTCGTCCATGCCCATGTCGCTGGGAGAATCGCCATCTTTCATCTCCGGCGGGTCATCGAGGTTCGAAAACGGGAATGGGAATGGGAACGGAAATTGGGGGATGGTCCAGGCGACGGCGTGGGGGATGGCGATGGTGACGGCGAGCGTGGAGGGGGAGATGAGAGTGTATCAGAATTTTGGGCTGCCTCTGAAAGTAGGTCGGCAGCCCACCAATCTCTTCCAACACTAAGAGCATGTGCAACGCGGTTCTTTGATTTATGGGAGAACCCATCCGTTGGACTCCGTTTGCGGATATATAACTAATGGCTTAATTTCCCTAAAAGTTCGAGCTTTCAAGTGAGACTGTCATTAGCATCCGACATAGTATCAGAGCCTGGCGTGTTAAAGACTCCTGTCCCGTTTGAGCTTGAGGTTTTAGGTGAGATGGTCATTAGCCTCCGACACCACCTTTTCTGATGTAGCAATGCACCATCAACCAAATAAAAAAAATAAAAAAAAGTGTAACTTAAAAAATTGAAATAACTTCTATCATGCTGTATACACAAAACCGACAATCATAAGAATTGCATAGTATCTTTCGAAATCATTTAAATACTTTTCAAGTTTACATATTTATTGTATGTTTTAGCAATTGAGTAAAAAAAAATAATGCAAAAAAATACTTATATTTTTTCTAACTTTAGCTTTTAATTCTTCAAACCACCATTGTCAATCAAGATTTGAAAGGATTTAAAAAATTGACCTAAACTATTACTTGAATAATCTTTTCACCCAGTTATCATTTTGAAAATTATACTGCTCAAAAATCGTATTGTATTCAATTAAGAAATCATTTTCTTCTTAAAAATCATTCCCACACTTGCTAAAATCATGTGCAAAAAATTTTAATTTATAAAATAATCCCCACTTAAATATTTTATAGTATTTTGATAGATATACTAAATACGTAATTTGTGAAATGTCTCTAACCATTTAGAAGCTAATAATTTTGCCATTGTTATATCTTCAAAAGTCAAAATAGTATTTCTTCTCTGACATGCTATAACAAAGATTTTTACATATTAATTTTATAGTCAATCTATATTCGTTCTTCTATAATTTTGTCAATAAATCGAATTTAAACAGCACATATGTGAGCATGAGATTTGTGAATGTATCAAATTTATGTAGAAATTATGATATCTTATTTACACAAAAATAGTAAATGTTATAAATATTTGTTGACTTGTTCTGTCTTTCACATACACAAATTCAACACATCTAATTTCACGAATATTCACTGGCATAATTTCAACTCATACCAACACAGTCAATTCTCAATCGTAATAAAATCAAAGAAAATAAACAAAGAACATCACCATCACGTCTAAAGCTAAGACCAAATAGAAAGGGAGAAAATCGAAACCTCTACAACAAAATTAATATAAACTTCCGTTGTACATAAAATCAAGCAACTAATAGAAAAGAACTAACAAATCAATTTCAGCCGGAGAACATAATATATTCAAGGAAGTATAAACTCTCCAAAAAAGAAAAAAATCTTTTACCAAAGGCAAACAAACCGGACACCGCCCGATCAACTTGGACCGGTTGCAGAGCTCTTATTGAAATCAAAGAAGACTACTAAGAATCGACTAACATATGTTGATTCCTATGGTCTAGAATATCAAAGTATGCTTCAATTACGAATGACTTCCTTCTCTCAGTCACCATTGTTCTATATTTTTGTTTTTTAACCGTCATTGAAAGCCTCCGACCGTCTCTTTTACAAGATGTGATAAAGAAGATGACAATTTTCCATCCAGTACTGCTTGTCATTCTCTCGTGTCATTGATTTCAATATTGAAATATAGAGAGTAATTTTTTAAAATTGAATATATATTTTTTTGATTAAAAAAATGTTGTATCATGAAAGTTAATAAAACAAATATCTGTAACTTGATTCTTCATGAAACTCAAATTTATCGTTTTAGATAAAACAAATCATGAAGTTAATTGGCTTTAAACATTTTTAAAAGAATTCTATATTGGAAGAAATGTATATCTATATTAATAATATATTGTGATAATCAAGTATTAATTACCAGAAAAGTGATTGTAATGTACAATGGTAAGTTGCAATACATTGGTTGTCAATGCAGCACTATCTCATAACTGATCTCAAGAGGTTGTCACTTGAGACTATACTACAAAAAGTTAGATGTAGCTATGAATAATTTTGTAGTAAAAAATAATGATTTCGTAACACAAAAGTTTTTGCGACAAAATGAGTTTTGTCACCTATATCGCGTCAATAATGGTCTTTGTCGACAAATTTAACTTTTGCAATGAAAGATAATTTTTTTACGATGAAAGTATAGAAATGAGATATAGGTACAAAAATATAATTTATGAACTAAAGTTATTATATTTCTCTATAAAAAAATAAAATTTCATAAAAAAAAAAAAAGTTAGCCACAAAATATACATAATTTTATTAGTCAAATGACCTTAGCTATGAAAATATAATTTTGTAACTAAAATCCTTTTGTTATGAAAATATGATTTTTTAGCAAAATGATTTTAGAGATAAAATTAATTTTGTAATATATAATTTATACTAGTGACGAAACTAATTTTTGTAATTGAATGACACATTTTAGTTACAAAAAGATTTTATAGTTAAAAATATTGTAGCGAATTAGATATATATATATTTTTTTGTAGTGATATAAGATTTAAGGGTAAATAATATAATATAGCGAATATGCTAATTGAATAATTAATCCAATATCTATTTCATAAATTGTTTGGATGAATAAGATTGGAATCCATACCTAAATAAGTGTAATGGACATTTTAAATGATTAAAAATTCCACGACCGACCGACGTTCAACACAAAGTCTAAGCTGTACAAATTTGTATTGCAATACTTAAAATATGTGTCTTATAGAGTGAGAAATGAGAAACAATGATTGTTGATTAGATAAGCCTTTGATCTATTAATATTTGGAGGATGAGTACCTATATAAGTACAACCAACATTCGCAAGTGTTTTTTAGAACTCAAAATGAAAACAAATATGAGAAGTAGGATTCAATATCATTATTGTCTTAGCGAATGACATTATGGAATAGTTAGTCAAATATTTACTTTTTAGAAATAAATAAATTTCGGTTAAAAAAGAAAAATCAAATTTTGGTGAGTAAAAAGTAACTAATGATCGACCTAACAACAGGCCAATGCTAAAGATAGTGGATAAGGAAGGGGTAACTAGTGCTCTAATCATTCTTGTTATACATTGTTAAATGAATATGGTTTTGTTTAAAATAACAGTTCAATACTTTTACTTGACTATCATGCGGGCATAAAGCTCACATTTGTGCCATTCGACCCATAGTATATGCCTATCAGGTGCGTGGTGTGGAGTTGAAGCCTTGGCTTTGACTTTGGACCTGGATTTGATTTTATTATATATCATAAATTTAATTTAACATATATATCACAGCATTTTTTATTTTTTATTTTTACATTATCAAAACTTTAATTAATATACTTCCAAAACTCGTTAAACATTATTTTAATTTTTACGTATGGCCTAGTTCAATGTCATACAACATGGGGTACGGTGTCAATATTATATTAACCATAACACGAAAAATAATAAAAGTTTATTCGATATAAAAATTTCTAGGTTTGTAGATGTTTTAGCAATATACGAATCTAAAAATATTTTATTTATTATTATTATTATTATAATGCAGGTTCAACTCAATTCGATACAAACACAACGCTGGACACCAGCGATCATATATCTAACAAATTAAATTATTAAAAGATACTATAATTATTGGGATGATAATAATAATAATGCATAAATGCTTTATATAAAGAGAAGACAACAACGCGACAAATAATCAAATCTCCATCATCACTCTCTCTACTCTCAATATATATATATATATATGCACCTTGTGTGTGTACGGCAACCCCTACTTATATACATATATATATATATATATATAGAGAGAGAGAGAGAGAGAGAGAGTTATATCGGTGGGGTGAGAGTGAGAACAGTGTGTGGGGCTTGCGATGAAATGGCGACTTTATTCGTTGCAGCCTTGGTTTTTGCAAAAGCTTTGGCCGATACATATATATATATATATGTGTGTATATATAGAGAGAGAAAGAGAGAAGATCATAGGATAGGATAAGAGAAGAAGAAGGTTTTATGTATCATTTATTTTAGAGAGAAACTAAAATCATAAATGTATTTAATAATGGCAAAGAAAGTTAAATAAGTGTATTGATATATAAGAGATAAAATCATGGAAAGTGTTGATTCAAAAGAAAAATATAGGCGAATTAATTAATTAATTAATGCTCGACAGATTTGATTGTCATGACATACATGATCACACCTTAAAGTATGTATGTATGTTCTTTGATAGCTCTATTACGTAGTAGTAGTAGTAGTAGTAGTAGTACAACAACTGGATGTAATATGAAGACATATATATAATTGATAAGCCCACCGGATCGATTGATGAAGCCATGGTTTATATACAAGTATAAATATATTATATTATATTATATTATATTATTGAGGCATCTTATCTTATTTCTATTGTTTTCAATGAATTCATTCCAACTTTCTATTAAAAACAAAAGAAAAAGAAACATGATAGAAGCAATTAAATCAAAAAACGCGTGCAAAGTGTTCCTGAGAATAGAAAAAAAAAAAATGGATATTTGGACCGGTTCTGTTAACCTCAATTTCAGTCTGCTCCTACTCAACTCATGCTCTGCAAAATCTCCTTCACTTGTATACTTTTTTCCTTAAAACCCTTCTTCTCTTATCTTTCTTTCTTTGGGTCGCACTGTTCGAGAATCCAAGAATCCAATATTCTCTCTCTCTCTCTCTCTCTCTCTCTCTCTCTCTCTATATATATATATATATATGATATGCCTCCTCTTCTAAGAAACTTTTTTGGTTTCAGGGATTTGGTTTGAATTCACTTTCTTGGGTTGTGGGGAATTGAATAAATTGGAAGGACCAATGATGACGATGATGATATACATACATATTTATATATGATGACAGATATTATTGCATGCATATGAGTGTGCATGAATTATTATTTGGGTGTCTTTTGAGAGTCCTGTCCCCTCCCCTCCTTCTCTCATTAATCATATATGTATAATATATAAAAGAGAAACATATCTTTCACAAAAGCATCTCCAAACCTCATCCATTTTGGGCAACGCCTAACCACCACAACATAATAATATATACTCCTATATTATTGTGAAATCATTCATTCAGGCATCTGTATGTGTATGTGTTTGTGTCAAAATACAAGTTTAGTAGAGGTTGTTTCCAGGTTTGAAATATTTTGGAAAAAAAATTAATTATATATGTAGAAATAACACCAAACCTGTTTGCATGCACCCATAAGTCATAGGGATGAATTTCTCACTATTCTTTCAATCGAATCACCATACAACACACAATAGATACAATACTCATTGTATCTAACCATATGAACTTTTATAAAAAGTATCTACAATCCGTATCTGTTAATTTAGTTGGAGATGAGTTTAACTTCATTGTTATAATTAATATAATTAGCTGCTTTAGAACAATTTTATATATATGCACACATTCAAAGAGAACAATTCCATTAACTTCGTCTATTAAAAAAAATAAATTAAAACACTCACATACACTGATCAAAGCTACCATGCACAATGGCAAAACATACAAACTAAAAACCAAAACAATCCTACAACTAGAAAATTAGCCTCACCCCTACACCTATCTATTTCTAGCTATATCATATCATATCAGCCACATTAATTTTAGATAAATAAATAAGATTTTGATAATTGGGGAAATGGAAGATGAACACAGGGGTAAAATTCTACCAATGCAATTTATGCCCTAGCAAATTGGGGGTTGATTTCATCTTCCCAAAGTGTCCTCTGTAGTTCAATCACTGCTGCAATGGGTTGCTGATGGTTGAACTGAAGAAGAACTCAAACCTGAAAGTTCAGTCCAGGCACCATTAAGATTCGCATTCCAGTGGTGGTGATCCGCTGTTAATGGCGGCGCCATTGCTCCCAGGCCCAGCTGCTGGATTGGGTGTTCCTCCATTTTCACAGAAGCTAGCTGTGTAAGCAGCGTGCCGGAAAGTTTTGGGCGGCTCTCACCGCCGTCGATGAACCCTAATTCGCCGCCGTGATGGAATTGATAAAATCCTAGAGATGATGGATCCAATCCGCTTAGGATTGGGAATTGCTGTTGCTGCTGCCGCCAGGGATCGAGGAAATTACTGTTGCCCGGTAAAGGAAATCCGGCGTCGTTAAAGCTCGCCGGAGCTGAAATCTCGCCGTAGCTCAGGCCTAAATCGCCGGTGAGACTGTCGCTGAATTGGCTTAACTGAGAGGTGAACCGCAGCGGCGGGAATTGCGGCGGCGAGAGGCCTAGGGCGGGAGGGGTCGTGGCCGACGGCGTGGCGACGCTGGCCGGAGACTTTGACTTGGTCCGTCTGTTCCTCCGGCAGCCGCCGCCGACGGGGACGTTCCTCAAGGCGCCGCCTCTGGTCCAGTAGCGGCGGCAGGTCTTGCAGAAGTGGCGCGGCTGAGTGAGGCTGTAGTTGTTGAAGTAGCAGAACTTGGTGTTGGTGGATTCGCAGCGGGGGCATTTAAGAGCTGCTTCGGGCATTGGGATGTTAGCCAGACGAGCACGTTCCGACATGGATCCCCCGCCGGGCCGGACAGATCCGCCATGGGAGGGTAATTGGGGCGGCGCCGCCGCCGCCGGGAGCCTAGGGTTTGGGCTGCTGTTGCTGCTGCTGCTTGCAATTATTTGATGATGATTCTGAGGCTGAAGAAATTTAAAAATAAATAAGAAGTGAGAAAATGATTGATAGTTGTGTGGAAAATAAGGAATCAAGAATTAATTAGATGAAGAGGGTTGGGAATAATTTAATTGTTGAATATTTGGCTTTAATTTTTATATATATATCAGAAATTAAAGAAGCTTGGTAGCCATGGAAGCATAAACTAATTAAGTAGAAAAAGAAATAAAGAAGAAATGAAACCCTAGCTAGCTATGCATACCTGGTGCCAATTGGATGGATCAAGATAAGGTGGGAGGGATGAAAAAACCATGGCTGTTACTTAGATCTTGCTGCTTTCTCTTTTTCTAAAGCCCTTTGGAGGTTTAGTGGAGAATCACATCAAATGAATATAGAGGAGGAGGAGGAGCTACAAGAGATCTAGAGAGAGATTTTGTGTGTGTGTGTGTAGGAGAGAGAGAGGGAAAATGAAGGCAATAAAGGGTAGTGAGCAAGAAGAGAATATTGGAGAACAAAAATAAAGCAGATGGCTTTAATCCTTGCTGCCGAGGCTGTGCAATACATATATATATATATATAATACAAACATACATACATATATACATATATATATATATATATGTACATCCATGCATGGATTGATATATATCTTACAAAAAATAGTATTTGGATTGAATGCACAGTTTCTAATTAACTTGTGTCTTGTGTTCCTAAAATATACTCTCCACTCTATAATATTGGCTCTCTGTCATCTGTGGTTGCTTTAATTTATTGTTGTTAGTGCATGTTTCCAGAATGTGTGGATGCTGAGGGAGAGTCCAGGGATCTCCAACACCAGATGAATCCACACCGCTGATTGGAACCTACGGATGGCTTGGATCCATCGGCAAAGGATCTACTTGTGTTGGATTACTTAACATTGAAGCTTCTTCTTCTTCTTCTTCTTCTTCTTCTTCTTCTTCTTCCTCTTCTTCTTCTTCTTCTACTTGTGCGCTGGCCCTGGCTGATTAGGTCTAATTCTTTCTAATTTTTTATACTAATATATTTGTATTATTATTGATTTGATATTCTATTATGATTATTATTTTTCTTTAATATATATATATATATTCTATTATGATTATTATTTTTTTATACATAATTTATATGCATGAAAGAGATTGAAGATAGTATTAGATATTTTAGAGTACTCGACACATGTAGCGGTTCGATTGGCCCGATTCTCTTTTCTACACTTTTTCTTCTTTTTTTTTGATATATAATTTATAATAAAAAAAAATAATATTTTTTTATTAATTTACTGGAATTGTGTTTTTTTATTTAGCAAGAGCACTTTCATTGTAAGCCTATGTGTGTGTGCATGAATATGGTTATCGTTTGAATCTTTGAAATTTAGATTTGAAATTATTTAATCAATTAATATTTGATTTATAATATAATATAAATAACTAATTAAAAAATTAAGGTATATATTTAAATATTCATAAAATTTTTATTTTAATATAATATATACTATATAAATAAAATATTATATAATACTAATTAATAAAAATTATTAATATAAGTATTTATTTATGATTAGCATTGATTAGTTTAAAAAAGATAATAATTGAGAGTTTTGAACTTATATAAAATGCATTTATTTATTGAAGATAAAAAATAATAATAGAAAATTTTGAATGGGTCATGTGATATAATACGAAATCTAACCGGTAACCAAACATATGTTTTTGTTGTTAAGAGAATATATGTCCTAGGATATAAAATTAGGATACTAATACTAAAATGCAAGAATGAATGAAAGTAAATACAATGCATGGATGGATGTAGAAAAATAAAAATAAAAAGTAGCAAAATTTGAAGACACACTACTGAAATAATTTAATTGTGGCCAATATAATAGGGTTTCTTCATCTTCTCCACATATAACAAGAAATGAATTTAAATCAATAGTTATTTTCCTATAATTGTTTGCTGCGTAGAAATAGAAACAAGTAGTAATTTGTATTTATATATATATATATATATATTATCCACCATAAAAACAATTTAAATAAAAAGAAAGAAATCTGGTTTGTTACATGGCTTAAGTTTTGACTAAAATTAAGGCCCAATAAATTAAGTGAATGGCAGGCAGCCCAGCCCAATTGGGAGATAATCTACTAATAGTATTATTAGATTCAGGTCCATAATTCTGGTCCGTTCGTTCACTGTGTATTTTTTTTTATAGACGTATATTTTTTACTGAAAATATAATTAGTAATATATATTTAAAAATATATTATATAATATAAATAATTATAAATTAAAATTATGATAAGTAATTAAAATATACATATATTCACACCGTAGATGTAATATATATTCTTTTTTTTTTTTTTTAATTATGCGTTTTATATTTCATATCTCCTATGTCAAATAACTTGTATAATATATATATATTGAATGTTATGTATATTATAATTTTTTAAAAATATATACATAAAGAAAAAAAATTGAAAGAGACAAATCTTTTCTTCCCATCATTTACTAAATCAAAGTGAGCCCATTAAATATCAATTTGAATTGGGTAGGATCATAGAATACAGCACAGACTCAAATCGATTCAACTTTATTGTTGCAAACAATTAGATACAAAACATTTGGACTATGCAAACAATTAGTAGCACATAATTTTTTTTTTGTCAGTCCCATATAATTAATTTTTTTTTTTTTAATAATATAATTATACACTTTAAATACATTTACTATTTTATATATTATAATTTTTTAATATTAATTAAACTATTTATTCATCTTAATCTTAATTTATAATTATTTTTACTAATATATTTTTTAATTACTTACGAATTATACTTTACCTAAATTTTTATATCTACAATAATGAACCCATATTACATAGGACGACGAATGGAATAATATTTTAATATCAAAAATCAAACTTTTTTTTTTTTTTTTTTTGCAAATTCATCCAAAATAAACACACATGTATTTACTTACATTTTTTATTTTTATTTTATTTTATTTATACTTTATATATATATAAAAGTATTTGCTATGGCTTTTAAAATTTAGCTATAAAAACATGAATATAAAGCAAATAATGAAGATTCCAAAGACATAATCTTTTTTTTACTTAAATATTTTTAATTTGATGCTTTATGATATAAAATAGTGTATCTATATATAAGTATTTATGATATGATTGCATAGTATAAAAATAGAAACTAAACTTAGAAGGTATTTATATAGAGTTTAAAAGTAAAGACAAAAATCAAAAGTAGAAGCAATGTTAAAATAGTTTTTTATTTATACAATTATAGATATTATTTATAAATATAGATTATTTCATCTAATAACTTATCAAATCAAAATCATTCCAATATTTTTTTAAAAATTAATAAAAATATATATATTTCAAAAAAGTTTTTAAAAAAATGTTAGAAACAAATAAATTTATTTTTAAAAATAAATAAATAAGTAATTATCTTCTTCTAAAATTAATTGACATATTTTTTCAAAAAAATTCACTTATACTCAACTCATTTTTACTTTTAATAAATTATATTTATTTAAAATATTTCGAACAGAAATCCATTTAATTAACTTGATGATATATAAATCAATTTAATTAACTTCAATAAATAAATATTTTTATATATATTTAAAAAAATTATTTTTATAAAATTAATTTATGTTAATCATTAATAAAAATATATATATATATATTTTATTTATTTATATTATATAAAAAATTTATTCTTTACAATATAAGATTAATCATATTATTCTTTCACTATTTCAAATTCAAATCAACATTATTCACTTTGTTGGGTACTCCCGTTTGCAGATGAATAATTAATAGTTATGTTTTTTTAACAATTCGAGACAATCATTCTGTATTCGACATAGTATCAGAGCCTAAACTAGGTTTTGAGCTCAATATAATTAAACATAGATAAAACTATTGCTGATAAATAAATATATGTATCTGTAGTGTATCTAAATAAAATATTTTATTTATATAAGATCAATAATATAATTGAAACATAAGTGTATATAATATTTAACAAAAAATTGAATTCAAAATTGGATAATTTCGAATTAGAAAAAGGTAAAATTATTTTTCAGTTTAATTTTAAAAATTTTAATTCAGAATATTCGAGTACCCTGAATTATCAAATTACCAAATTCAAAATCAGTGGATAAAATTGAGAAATCGAAAAGTTTGTATACTTTTACCACCCATAACCAAACAAAACTTTTATTAAAGGGAAGTCGGTAGGGTGACTCCACCCGATTCGACACTCAATCTATCCTTAGATCTTGGAAAAATCATTAACCCAGAAAGTGGGATTACATATATATATATATATATATACACTAATCCTGTTATACCGCTCAGATTTGAATTTCTACATAATAACCAAAGTATTTTCGACATGAAAAGAAATAATCTTTTCGCTTCTTAATAAAGTATTAATTTTTTTTAAAATATTGTTATATTTTATATTAAAAATATAATTACATTTATATAATATTGTATACAAAAATTAATATATATATATATATACACATATGAAACTTTAAAATCAATACCCTAAACAGATTTGCTTTTAAGGTTATATGTTTATTGATTAAAATAAACGTGGATTACCACAATATTTTTTAAAAAATAATTATTAAATATTATTTAAATAATTATAACGACAACTACAACCACCATAATAATAATAATAATAATAATAATCACTTAGACAGCTCGCTGCAGAGTGCAGACAGCCTGGGTTCAAAGCAAGTTTGATAACCCAGCCGCAAAAATTGAAAAAGGCCTTTTTTGACTTGTCCTTCCAATATGAAGTATATTTATTTGGTTTCTATTGAATTTTTTTATTTTTTAATTTGAATTTTCTATTTAAATAAAAGTTAATACAATGTTTCTGTAAAAAAAAATCATATTGAAAAAATAATAATAATTAGAAAAATGAAAAGAGAAACGAAAGAAGCACATTGGACTTAGTTCTATATAGCATATATAATTCTGGTCAGCTATATATTTAGTTTTTTAAAAAAAGTCTTAAGACAATTATGATTAGTTTGTTTGACTGTAAAGGAAGAGATGATGAAGGCATGAATGAGGACAAACAATAATTAATATCACCGTAACAGAACCAAGACAACCCACTATTTGTAGAAAATAAATAAATAATAATACTAATTAACAAAATCAATTTCCTTTACTTTTCTTTTTTTAAAAAATAAAAAAATAAAAATTTGCCAACCATTGATAATACTAGTTTCTAAAGTTATTCTAGAAAGCCTGTAAGAATAGATATTTTCACATCTAGCAAATCACTAAATAAAATAGTAGGAGTATAAAATAACAATTCGGCAATGAACAAACACACTAATCAAATTAAACTTTGATTAAAAAACAAGAAATATAGATAAATGCATAAACAAGTAAGACGTACAAGCGAAAATAAGGTAAAAGCAAAATAGGACAACAACATAAAGATTTGATATGTTTAACTTCACACAAATAATCTAGGAAGAAGGAATAGTCGAATGATATTATCTTCGGCTAGGCTAGGGGTGTTGGAAACTTCTTTTCTGTTTCATCTTTTATTTGCATGCAAACCCGAGAATATATAATTAGTTTATCTTTAGCTGCAATCAGACAATAAAATACATGTTAGAAATTTTGAGGAAAATAACGAGATTGTCTTAATCTATGAATAAGATCAAAATATAAATCTACTAAATTTAAAACTAAATATCTAAAATATCTCACATTTTGTCTCATCATGAAATTTTTCAAAGTTCAATATATCATACTTGAACCAAGTATCTTGAGCAAAGTTGCAGTCCAGTAGCTGATTGGATATCAAATTTGTCTATAAATTCTTAATACATGCAAACAAGATTTTCATATAAAAAAAAAAATAATATATATATATATAAAGTATTTTTAGATAATAAAAAAGTATATTTATCATTAATATTATTATAAGAAGATATTGTGGGGAGATCTGTATTATCATGAAAATGAGTGTAGAATCCCAGCCCAATCAATAAAGTTTTAATTTGTCATTTTGTAATGTACACAGATTTTGCCGACATATTATTTTATGTCTACCAATTATTATATGTATACATATTCGTGTGTAATTTTTTAAAAAATATTATTATTATTATTATTATTATTATTATTATTATTATTATTATTCCGAAAGCAAAATAAAAAGGGATATTATTGTTTATTGTTGTCGTCCACTAATAAGAGCTTTTTAGAGTGCCTTTTTGGTGATGATGAATTCATAATGGAAATGCATTTGCTTTGCTTGCACCAACCAACCATCATTACTTCTTTTATTGTTCCATACAATATTTTTAATATTATATTGTTGCCAATATATGACATAAGCCACACAACATATCATGTATTTTAATTATATACAAATATAATATTCTCTCCGTCCACTTACAATATTTATATATTTCTATTTTTGGACGTCCAATTACAAACTTAACATTTTATTAAATACTCTACTTTTTTCCACAAATACTCTTATTTTACACCACATCATTACTTTTACACAAAAAATAAAATAAAGGCAAAAATGTCATTATACTACTTTTAACTACTCACTATGCACTAAAAATAAATGTAAACTTTGTAAGTGGACGGAGGGAGTACATAATTTGACAATATATAATATATAGTTCCATACATTACATATTTTCATTAATTTCAGTATAATAAATATATTTATATAAAACTTAAAAATATAAACTAACTGTGCATACCCTTAAATATTTTTATTTCACATAATGTGTTATGTGCTATATGTGTATTTTGGATATGTATTTAAGAGTTATTTAGATTTATTCAGTCAAAGTTGAAAGTATATATTTTATCATTTTTATATATCTTTTTCAAAATATTCATTTTTTATTATAGTAAAAATAATTAGACATTAATATAAAAATATTTTTAATTTTTATATAAATTATAGACATATCATTATATATATATATAGTACAAATAATAAAAATATCAAATCAGTTTATAATGCTTATATTAAATAATAAAATACTATTATTTTTTGTTTATTATAAAAAAAAACCCAAATATGTAATTTCATCCAGGATAGAATGAGTATTATATTGATAATGAATATACAATATTGATTAAAAGACTATTTTACTTTTTTAAATGTGTTTTCATTTAAATGTAAAAAAAATATATATATATCATTTGTATAACAATAATAAAATAATTTATAATGATATAATTAGTTATAATAAAGAGATTATTGTTTTGAAATGTAAGTACTTCAAATTAAAATAATGAATAACAATCTTAGATTATACAAATGTAAGTACTAGAGTACTCATAAAAAAAAATTAAATAATCAAATCAAATATTTAATTTTTATTTAATTAATTAAAAAACTAGCGTCTGCTTTTTTATTTTTTTTTAAATTTGGTTTGAAAAAATTCATTCAAATTTAGTATTAAAATAATATTTAATGAAAAAAATGTATATATTTCATTTATAAAAACATAATTCAAATAGCAAAAACACAACCTAAAAATTTTCACTCAACTCTTACGTTCATACATATTTTAAAGAAATCACGGCAATTACTTTTTCCTTTTAACCCCAAACTCAAATCCAACCTTAAATAATAATAATAATAATAATAATAATAATAATTAGCAGGTAAAATTTGCAAAATTCAATGGCTCCTCTATTTAGGCATCATTCTTTCACATTCTCTCGAACTAATTAAACTAAATTAATAAATATATACTCGCATAACATAACATAAGTTGAATAATATTAGGACATAAACTAGGATGAAGATAAAATGGAGCTGAATTCCAATACAAACAAACAAACTAACAAACGTACAAACAAACAGATTTTTTCCATTCATTGTGGTTCTAACAGCTAATAACCAAATAAACACAAATTCCTCTTCTTTGTTTTTGTCTCTTTATTGCCCTCATTCTCACTACTAACCATCCATAACACAATTTCCTCGGTCAGCATATCATACCACCAACTACAGTTTCACAGTTTTGGCCGGGGGGCATCAAAGATGGGGGCTAAGTTGTCCTCAATTTTTCATCGAGATAATTTGTTTCGACAACATATTCCACATTAATAAGCAAATGAAGTTTGTCAGAAGATACCGTTAGATGAACTGGTTCAGCTTCTTCACTGATGTATGTTCCGTTCTTTCTTTCCTGGACAAGAACTAGAATCTGAAACTGGGGTCGACATCCATTGCCCAAGAAAATTTCGCCAGCAGAGACTTGTTGAAAATCTGCATCCAGAAAGGGTCGAGGGAATAGGATAGTAAAAACCACCAAGATCTTAATACTGATGGGAAGAGGGAGGGGATATGTTTTCACCTTCTCTATAGGAACTTCATGGCGTTTGCACCACGCGACAGTGATTCTGGGATCGAGATAGTTGATCCTTGATGTTCCAAGTGCTACAGTTTTCAAATCCTCCTTTGTCTCCTTGTCTCGTTCCATCTTTTCAATTTTAGCAGTGGTTTGAGCTATCTTCCTCTCTAATCTGCACAATTTTCACAACTAGCTGCAGCAGAGAGCTATAGCAGGGTATTTAAATGTAAAAGGGGATGTGCATACGTCTCTGCGCTCATACTCCTCTTTCGACTCCCATCAGAAGACTTGAGTGGGGGCTTCCCTTTTTTCACCCTAGTTAAATCAGTCTTAAGTTCTTCCATAACACCCTAGGAAGAGATTTTTGTAAAATTACAAAATATCATCAACAGCATAGAGAAAGTACTGACAATTTTCATGATGTAAATACGTTCTGATATAGTACGGTGATAAAGTAACTACCTTTAACTCTTCTATCTTTTCATTCAAGCGTGACATCTGGGCATCGTGAGACTTAGACACGGTGCGTTGATGATTACAGATAATAGCAACCTACATGACGAGAAGCAAATTTTAAGAGTTAGTTTGTCATACTAGGAAATTTGCTGAATTCATCCAATATGACATGGCCCTTACCTGCTTGTTCGCATGTTGATATACAACAATTTTCTCAGCTACGTCTCCACCTTTAGTCTCCTTATTCAACTGAGAGAAACCAACAATGTTGCGTCATAGCATGAAAGATAATGCAGAACAAAATTCTAAAAAAGGAGACATTAAAATAAACAAGGGAATGCTTTAACTTCAATATGTTACAATTGCGAGTAGAAACAAAAGCAATCATCATTGAATCGCAGCATGCAGGGAGTGTTGCTTCTAATAATGAATCAATGCATCGATCATTTCCATATAGTTTTGTGAGCCATTATGGTCGACTTCAACTTTTAAAAACAAGTGCAGTGCTTTGGAACACAAACATAAAGCGAAACTGCTAAAACACAGACAGTTGAACATAATATACTGGACGATAAACAGCATATAAACCTTGTATTCAGCACATCGCAGAGGATAAACAATTCAGGAAATTTATAATTGCGTAGGGATCATTGAGGTTGTGTTTACCAAGGGCGATTACCAACATACGAAGATTATTTAATCACTTCGGTAAACACATTCTAAGTGTATTGTTCCTCAGTATCTCATTTCCATAATACTGCAGATGCCATGGGTCCCAAGAAGAGCTTCTCATGACATACTAATCAAAGACGAGTATTAAAAGGGGTGCCAAGTTGCTGCTTACCATGTCATCCAAAGTAATAGATGCATTGTATGTACGGAAAACTTTAGCTGTAAGACCGGGCATGAGCTCCTTTAAATGGGCATTCAGTTTACTAGTGTCAATCTCGTCAAAGAGATCGTCACCACCCTTCTTCCCTGGAAATAATACAATCTAAATGTAAAAACACTACTAGACTATAGTGAAATGATGTATAAACAATAGAAATTGACTCACCACTTCGAAATTGTTGGATTGCCTTGAACACAGGAATCTCAACCTCAACTTGATTTTGATACCTTATAGAATCTTTACCAAGGAAATCAAACTGCAAATTGTAAAATATAAAATAAATAAATAAATGCCATTGGTCAAGCTTCAAAGCCATAGCATCAATAGTTCATCATGCATGGTTGAAGTATCTGCATTTTCCTCACCTCAAATTCCAGTAGCAATAAATATGCAATACATTCAACATCTCACCCCAGAAGCAACAAAATAGCTGGTGTAATTAAAAAATATAAAATGCAAGAAAGTAAATTTGGCAGTAAAAATCGTGAAACAAAATGCTGCCTACCTTCAAGATATTTGGAGGCACTGGTTCTACATTTTCCACTTTCAATGTGCAGCAACCAACAGTATCAGCTTCATCATCATCCTATGGCATTAAGACAGTTTAATAAGTAATATAAAATCAAAACTCATGTTGCCCTATTAAAGTGCAAAAAGAGTGGGAAGAGAAGGTCCTGAGAACACTCTAATTTGATGTAGCTAGGACACAATAATAATTATTATTATGCACTCAGCATGATACAACTGATGAAACAAGGAGCTAAAATTGCTGGACATTATACCTTCTCATTGCCTGCCCTAAGGGCAAGTTTGTCAATTAGATAGGTTGCAACTGCAATCTGTTTCTTTGTAGGATCCTTACTCACAAAATTCTTGGTATAGGTTGTTCGGATGCCATGTATATAGTCCTTCATTAATATTATAACACATTAGCAACAAAACACCACAAAAATAAACAAGAAATGACTTCTTTCAACCAATTCCCTTTCAATTACCTTCAGGAGCCTAGCTTTCTCATATTTCTCCTTGTCACTTTGTCCTTTTAAGGTGCTACTTGCAGCTAAGAACACATATTTGAATTCCTTTTGATTGATTGGATCGTTCCAATATGCCAACCATGTGACTGTATTGTCATGCCTTATATCTTTCCACCTACCAAATGCAAATTTCAGATGGTTAACTACATTCAATAGAAAGGCAACACTTGAAATGGGAAGAAAGAAAATAAATAGTCATTCTTAAAGATTTAATAAGAAAAATTAGTTATCCTGTTTAGAATACTGAGGCAGAACCTTTCACCGGCTATAGGACACTCCGGAACTGGAGCATCCTTGCCAATATTGATAACGATGTCACTTGGATGAATTCGTCTTTTCAGCTTTCCCATCTGTCAAAATGAGCAGGGTTAGATAACTAAATAGTCACTCTATACACTTAAAAAAATTTCGGTGTCCATTAGTTTGTATTTGCTAATAAGAAAATCAAACGCACCTTTGGATGCTCACCACGGCCACGGAACAGTCCAGGGGGTTCAACTCTGAAGTTTCCAACCTATAATAAATCAAATACAATCAGCTTCTGGAAAGTGGAAAGAGACTAAAGCATAATAGAAACCTTTTACTATCCATTGGTTATTAATAAACACCAGATTAAATATAACTTTTATAAATATAGAAGGCAATGTGCAAAATATGCTTGCAATAGCTTAAGTTAAAAATGGAATAACCTCCACAAATTCTCCATTCAAAAGAACATTCATATCAAACAGACAAGTAAAATGACAAAAGCAGCAAAAGTGAATCAGCAAAAATTAAACAGTTACCATAAGTAAACGAGGTAACAAACCATCAAGATGGCCCCAAATTTGTACTTTTTTAACTTCCAAAGTAATGGCAACAGTAAATTTATTTTATTTTTTAAGTTTAATGAGACCAGCAATGCAAGGTACTTGTAGAAGCACTAAGTGCAAGAATTAAAGCATACCTTCTCTTTCACACCATCAACAATGGCCCACATATATTTTTCCTCCTGCTTCAATTTGTCCTCTTTTAAAGCCTTCTTCTCCTGCTCTCCAAAATAGAAGAAGAATTAAATACAATAATACACCTCATGCAACTACTTTAACATGAAGCAGAACACCTGCTCCCAATACACCCAGACTGTGAGCACAATCCTACAAACTAAAGAAATCACAACCCATGGAAACAAAATAAAAACCCTATCAATCCCCTCCGGGAGGTGGGCCACCAACGGACAATTGTTTCATATCCACATAGTTAGGAAACAAGACCCAGATACAACTTAGGAATACGTTTTCCATTAACAACATCATGTTTTTCATTAAGATGCCAAAAGTCTTGCTTATATTTTGGGTGCGCTGACAAGCACTGGGCGTTAAAAATTTTGGAAAACAACAAACAGCATTGAAGCATTCTGTTATTCAAGATAGTTTCTCCTTACTCATCAAAAGCCATTACATAAACCTTCAATAACAACATTATCAAATAAAAACCATATGGTTCTATGAAATCAGTTTCTATGGCCACCTTCATTTGACCATATTAGATCACTTAATGTCACAAAGTTAAAAAGAAAATGAGCAAAGTACTTAAACTTTAAAGCATAACATGAATTAGACATTCTCAATAGAATCACCCGTTGAAAAAAGGCAACATACTATTCTGCTAACTTACTTCTGTGCTCATGCTTTTTTTCTTCTCCTTCTCTCTTTGATGCCATTCATATATTGGAGTAAAATCACAATGTTCCAAGCTCTGGATGGTGTGATTTTTCCCCAATAGATTCTTCCAGTCAGTCCAGAAGTTTTCATTGAACTGAGGCTTCTTCACATAGTCAGTATCTAGCATCACAGCATACATTGTTGCAACCTGCCAAAAACAGAATGAAAAGGACACGTCTTATATGTCGAAGACAAAGATAATTTTCATATTAAAAAATCTATTGAATTGTAAGAAATCAAAATTCTAAATAATTTGAACAAAGAACTTTCAAAACATATGCAAATAAAAACAGAAATACATGTCAATGAATAAGAGATGAAAGCTAAGGTAATGCCACCTCTTCTTGGTTTGGGGTTAAGTCAACCGGCTTGCCCTTGTAGAGCAACTTCACTCCATGAGGCTTGTAGGGTGGAGGGAACACAACACCGTTGTGTGTCAAAGTGGTCCACTTCTGGCCTTCGCCAGAGCCAGGAGGAACTTTTAGTGATTTAGAATAGTTATTATCTTTGACAATCTTTTTTGTCACCTGGTTTGACTTTTTCACACTAGAAGATGAAGGTTTGGACACAATTTTGGAAGATGATGGTTTTTTCTCAGAAGTTACAGGCTTCTTCACTCTGTGTGATATGGGTAGATCATCATCCTCATCCTCAGCCTTTACTTCTGCTTTGGCAGATGCTTCCTTAATTTTAGTAGATGAAGGTGTATCTGCAAGCTTAACTTTTTTTACAAAAGAATGACCGGCAGGCGCCACACCATCTGAAAGTCTCTTCTTTACATTACTTAGCACTTTCTTTTCAGCCAAGACTGAGCCATTTTGGTCAGACTTTGTCAGCAAGGGCTTCTTATCTTCAGATTTCAAGGCTCTGCCACTTGTTGAAACCCCAGAATTAGATTTAACTTGAAATTTAGATGACAGCGGCAATTCATCATCTGAATCTTCAGACTTGGGAACATCAGACTCTTGCTTCAAAGGTGAAGCATTCAGTCCATTGGTGCCATGGTTAGAATTGACCTTTGGAGCCCCAGCAGAAAGCCGTGCACTAAGAGGTCTATCATCATCAGAATCATCCAATTCCTTCCTCAGTCCACTGGTTCTCTCCACTAATGTCTTCTCCTTTCTAATCGGCTCCTTAACAGATTTCAACCCACCTGCCACAGATGTGGATGGTTTTGAATTCAACTCAGAAGACTTTATTGGAATTGCCTTGGCAGAGGAATTGGATTTTGGACTGGTGAGAGGAGACTTAACAGGTGAGGTCTTGGATGAATGGATTGACTTACCCTTTTCAGCATTGGTGCTTAAACCATTCGGAGCTCGTGCAGCAGACGCTGGCCTCACTAATTGCCTACCATGCTGCTGAGGTGCAGGCTTATTAGTTTCTGAACCTAATTGGCTTTGCCTTGCAGAAGAGCTACTTCTTTTAAAAACTAAAGGCGCTTCATCCTCGTCCATATCATCCATCTGTGTTTGTTTATCACAAGCCTCAACAGACATATGTGGCAATAACCCTGCATTACATTGAATGCAATGAAATGTAAGATGTTAAGGTCAATTTCAATACACCATCCCCTAATTCACAGCCTCTAATTTCTTGCAAGAAAACTAAAGAAATTATAACAAACAAATTGTGTAGATAATCAAACCCAAAAAAACAATGCAAACAATCATCACTACCTCAACAAGCTCTTTTAATTCGCAGGATTAAAATCTCAATGGCATTTCATAACCAACCAGACTTTGAGGGCTAGCAGCCACAAAGAAGAAGGCAGGCTCCTATATTACCTCAATGAACAAGTTTAATCAAAAAAAGGGTCACATTAAACAGCTTCAATCAGGAGAAGCAAACAACAATCTCAACTACATTTGCGTCATTGGATCGCACTTACAAATCTTCTAAGACAACAAAATTTTGCAGGGAAGCACAATAACCAGATAATCGAAAATCATCGACCACATCAATCGCCCATATTATCATCCAGGTTCTCCACGGCTAAACAAATACACACACATGGGAGAAACCAGCCGACTAGACTTTTCAGCGCCAGAACGGGTGCGAACCCTAATTTAAATCCCCAATCGAAAATCCGTAGATAAACCTAGAAAACCCAATTCCACATCCCTTCAAGGCAATGACCCGATGCAGAAGCGTAGGCATGAAAACATGCACGCAGTCGGAAAACCGATAACAAAAATATAAATCTGAAATATAAACCCAAAAAGACAACAAAGAAGAAGAACGAACAAAAAGACGAAGAAGAAGAAATCAAAGTACCTCGATTGCTGAAAGAAAATTATAATGAACAGCCAAAACCCTAACTTTTAGCCCGCGATAGGCTTGGCTCCTCCCCGTCAATCCACACCAAGTAAATTAACAATCAAAATTGCATCCCAGAACACCAACAGCTCGACAACTCTTTCATCTGATTTATATCAGCTAGCTCGTGCAAACAAAAAAAAAAAAAAAAAAAAAAAAACAAAAAGAATCCTTTAAAATTTAATAATAATAATTAAATAAATAAATAAAAATAATAATAATAATAATAATATACAGAAATTGCATATACACAAATTTAAGGTTGTCGCAGCTTAAATAGGATAAACCAATTTTAGGTAAGTTTTGGGGCAAATCGTAGCCACTTTAACGATTAGAAAAATCAGATACAAAATATATATATTATATATAGGATTATATAAATTGTTAATTGTATTTTATTGAGTGTTTAATCCTTTAGAAAAGTAAATAGAAAAAGCATTTGTCCCGTGCCAAGGCGTTGATATCTAGACAAATATTTTTGGGTTTTATAAAATAAATATATAATAATATCATATTTAGAAAGTGGTTTTTTTAATTTAAACAGTGATCTAAATACATTGTTTCGTAAAAAAAAATAATAATAATAATAATAATATATTTTAATAATTAACTAATTACTAGCAAACAATGTCAATTTATTATAAATTTGTATGAAATTTGATAAAAATGTTTAACCTTAACAAAATGATCGTCGGGGTGTGAATTTGATAAATCAAATAGCCGGTAATATGTATAATCTCTACATCCATCAAATTCTATACAATTAATTTAACATGTCTAAACAATTTGAAATTAATGAGGTGAATTTATAAAATTATTTAATCAAACTCTAATGTTTTTAGTTATAGTTTTTATAAGATGTAAAGCTAAAAAAATATTACCAAATTCAATATTAATTTTGACCGTTTCAATTTGAAATTGTTTTGACGAATGTATACACATTCACAACTTCAATCAACTTTGCAAATAGTTCAAAAAATCATTATTACAACACTTCGACTTTCAACTTCCAACTTGGATCTTAGAATTTATTATTATAAACTACTACTATGAGACTCAATCTTTAACCCCTAATAGAATCCCATTTGATATCTTAAAGTTAAACTATCAAACAATATGAACATATCGAAAAAGTATTAACTAATTTTGTATTATACGGCGTATATATGTATAATTGAGAATTGACACGTATTTCACAACTTATACATTGAACAAAGCATATATTGTGTTTGTGATTAATATTGACATGATTTCAAAAAACTTATTTTATAAAAAAAATATTATATTTTGAACAATATTTGGCACTAATTACATTCTAACTCATAACAAGCTAGTGTTGGTTGGTTTAATGATCTTTATGAGAAATGTGTAAAATAATCTCTCTTTTATTAAAACTAAATTGGTAAAGAATATAGAATCTTAATATATATGTTTAAAAAAGAAGTTAATAATATGATCATATCAGGTCATAACAATTTATGATAAATTCAAATAGTATTAACGACAATCACACTAGTTAGATCGCAAAAAAAATCAGTTTGATAGTAAAGTGACAAATAGTTATTTACATAATTGAATGATTTGTTTGGCCGATGATTAAACTATATTTCAAATAGAAGTAGATCTTAACAAATTTTTAACCCACAATAGTCACTTTCAAAACTAAAATTTTCTATACATAATAGTTCTTAGTTTAATTCTAATTTACTTTAATTTCAAGTTTACCTTTTTAAGTTTTGTGGTAATTTAGGATGGAAGAAAACTTCACAAACAAAATTGTGACTTTTTTCAAATTTATGATTTTACTTTTTTTATTTTTACTATTCTTATACTTTCTTATTTATAGTATAATATGTTTTATTAAGAGATTTTAGTTATAGGAATTTCGATCTATAGGTACAATTAAATACACTATAAAAAAATAATATATTTGTAACAGAATTATATTCCTAAAGTTTACGTAGCTAACGAAATTCCATTTCTAATTCCGTCTCTAATATCGTTAGTGACAGAAAAAGTGAATTTAGAAACGAAAAAATCTCGTTATAAAATTGATAATTTCTTGTAATGATAGTTTTGAAGTAATTGTATTTTTTTAAAAAAAAGAATTAAAAATATATTAATATTCAAATTAAAAATATATATATATATATCAAGCATTCAAAAAATTCAGCAACCCAATGGCGTACCCTAATCTTGAAATCCGACTGAAAGTTGGTCTTACATCAAGCCAAGGTGATAATGGTATTTAAAATAGACACAGTATTTAAGATGATTATATTTAATTAATTAATAATAGTAAAATATAATATATATATATATATTTTATGTAAGATGTATTGTAACTACAATTTAAAATAAGATTTAATCTATGATTAAAAATTGAATAATTGAAATATAAATGGTATTTTCTCACATACAAACAAAATCATTATAATTGACACCTATCAATTTTTAAGTTGTATTTCATTTGGAATCTCTGCTTTTGGTGTGTTTGTTTGAGATTTGGATTTTGAGTTAAGGGATTTGAATAGTAAAAATTTTGAATTTGAACAGTTGCATGATGTGATATAAATAGGTGTTGATGTGATGTTTTGAATGTAAAATTGATTTTTAGTATAATATAAAAAATAAAAAATAGATATTTTATTTAATATTTTTAGGAAAAAAAAATTGGATGAATAGTATAAATCCAATCAAATCCTCCAAACAAACACACATATATATATTTTTAATGATAAATTTATTTTTATGTCTTTAATAAAAATATATTATTTTATCTGATAAATTATTTTAAGAAAATAATAAAAAAAAGTTAATTCAATCAAAAAATATTATAATTTTTCAAAATATTTTTAATTTTTAATAAATAATAATAAAATTTTCATTATATTTAAATATTAAAAAAAAAAGAAAAAGCATTATACCATGATGTACTATAGTGGTAAGAAAAAGCATTATATGTACGACAGTATGCGAAACAAAATAGAAAGTCTACAATAAATAAAACAATAAGACAAACACACGACTATAATTGATTTGGTAAAGGGTAAAATCTCGCAACTGTAGTCGTGCTTTTGTATTGTCACAAACACGTTTATTTCAAAGTCGCATTTTCGGCAGAGCCAAACTGAACGCACTGTATTGTATAGCTCAATACAGAACTGTGGCCGCCATTCGCTGTTACACTTGACCACTTGTCTCAGTAATAATATTCATTTTTATTCTAATTGTCTTCTATTCCAATCATTTCACACAACCAAAATACTATTAACCAATTAATTAATTATGTGTTCTTCCATTTTCTTTTATTTATTTGGATACATAATTTTTTATTAGTAAATTTCTTTTTCTCCGCATACACACCAACCTCACGGTATGTCAACGAGTGTTCAACTATTTGAGCTACAATTTTTCGACTGATAACATATTTAAGGTAATTGAGTTAAGTAAATTAATGATAGTAGTATTAGATTTATAATTATTATTCTTTATCATTTTTAATATAATAATTGAAGCTTGTACACTTTTAGTTCATCAACTACAAAAAAATTGACAGAAACGATCATTCGTCACCAAAATCATCATGTTGTTGTTGAATAGGTTTGTCAATGCTGATATGATTGATTTGTTAGCACCTCGTTGGCAACATGTGGATTTTTTTTTTTCCAATAGGGCAAAAATAGTTTTGATCAAGAAAAACGTGGAAAACATACAGAAGTGGGCAAAATTTTGGCAAAAAAAAACAAATAAAAAATTACTATCAGTTGAAAAACAACTCTGAATAAGAAAAACTTGGAAATAATTAAAAAGAGAATGATAGGTATAGAAAGATGAAAAGATGTGAAGAAATGATAACATGAAGCTTCGATGCCCGTCTCATGTCCTGCCTGGATAAACCTTAGGATTGCAGCCTTCCTACTCGGGGTCTCTACTACACTAGGCAAAGAATATTGCATCGAAAATTTAGCTTCTATTTTTGTTTCATTAGATATGATTTATTTTGAGTCTGGATAAAAAAGCTTCAAAATAAAGGAAAAGATCTCTTATAAAAAGATCATTGTATTTGCTCTAATCTACGCTCTTTTGTATTTTTTTTATTAATTTGTACTATATACAAAGATAATACTAATATTAAAAAAATTATTTACCAAAAATATATAAATATTGTGTTACAGGATGCAAGGAATATTAGAATATTGAAATTAGATTTATTAAAAAACCATCAATTATAATTATATATTTTTACAATTATGTATTATGACACTGTACACTCATAAAGTAATATTGTTTTTTTAAATATTTATCATTGCTTATAGCAAATTTGGAATGTAAAAACATGCAAGTGACATTGAATATTAAGTAATTTACGTGTATTAGAATAGAATACAAATAATTACAATCATAAATTAAGTTTCATAAAACACACCTCTTAATTTAAATTCAAACTTAAACGAGGTCAATCACACGACCATGTTTATAATACCCTGCAAACCAGACCCGACGGAAAAGTTACATTTTGAACTCATGACCTCACGGTTATGAATCCAACTCCTACACCACCAGATCATCTCTTACGGGACTTTTATCTTTTTTTTCTTTTTAGTTAAGCTTTAACTTGTTCATTGCATAGATATGTGTCATGTACCTTATTGTCGCATTGTATGCACATTTCTATTGTTATGGAGTGATGGTGCACATGAGTTCTTTTGCAATATAATTTATAATTTGACAACATTCCTTCAACTTGTCGTTATATTCTTGTCCGCATTGGAGATTCATGAAAACTATTCGATTATACATTGTATTTTCAATTAACAATTATTTTAGGTTGCATATATACTTCGAAATAACATTAAAAAATCATTTTAAAGTGAACTCATATTGTATTAGTAATAATATTCAATAATTAGTGTATATATATAAGTAAAGCATTTTCTTCAAATTAGCTTTACAATTTATTTATATCACATTAATATAATATTCTATCCATCAAATTATACAAGTATTTTAATACTTATTAGCTCCAAATTTTTTAAATTCCTTATTTAAACACATTTAACTCCAAAACCATATTTTTTTAAAAAAAATGTATCAAAACTCCAAAACTTTCCATATAAGCGGACAAATAATATTTTTAGTAATTTAGTACAATTCTTCTGTATTTTTACCAAAAAGTGAGACTATCGGGGGGTGTATTCAATTGGGATTTTAATGAATTTTTTTGAATTTTAAAAAGTCTATGGATTTATGTAGATTTAGAAAATCTACAGAGTCTTAGTTGAATTTGATGGATTTTAGTAATTGATTTAGATGGATTTCTACGGATTTGATTGAATTCTTTATGGATTTATATGGATTTTGTAGGATTGTAAAATAAATTTTTTTGTTAATATATATTAATTATATAAATTTATATCAAACAACAAATTTTATAAATATAATAAATAATTATTAATAAGATAATATTTAATATTAATAAAGAATATATACGTATTTATTTTTTTATGTAAAAAGGTTATATTAATATAAATAAATAAATAATTTATGATATTTTAAAAAAAAATAAATATAAATTAATGGTTCAACAAAAAAAATATATTTTAGTTTTAAATTATTAATTTTTATTAAAAATTATAATAATAGTAGTAAATATTATTGATCACGTATACAACAACAACAATAATAATAATAATAATAATAATAATAATTTTAAGAATCCATCAAAATTTGTGATTGTCAAGAGAAATTCTTTTCTATACAAAATTTTCACAAAAATTCATTAAAATCCATAGACTTTCAAAGTCATCGTTGAATATCTCTATATTTTTAAAAAACTTTTAAAAATCTTGATTGAATACATTCAATTTTAAAAGTTCAACAAAATCTTACAAAATCTATATTGAATACATCCCTATATCTCCATAAAGGAAAAGAGTAATAATAATATCTTTTTATAAAGAACAAAGTTGAATATTCTTAGTAAAAATATGTATATAGTAAACAAATAAAAGAAATCATTAAATCAATTATAATGTAAATAAATGTGGACCAGAGATATTGTTAGGACATCATTGTATTAGTATATAATCGACATCATGCTAGAAATCTCTATTATTATTATTATTATTATTATTATATAAATAGAACTTGTTTGTCAAGATTTTTTTTTTTTTTTCACACAATTTTTAATATATATATATATATTACCATCTCATAAAAATTAATATTTAATATAAAATATTATCTTTTATATTACTGGTATAAATCCTTATACTCCACATTTAAAAAATAATAATAATAAAACTTCAAATTAAAACACTAAACAAACAAATTCATAGTTTGCTCATAAAAGTCAGTGTGCACTTTCGAGTAGCGGCCGAAGATTATCACGTTATCAAATAATAATAATAATAATAATAATAACCTTTTCATTTTGTATGTTCTTAGTTATTTATTTATTTGTTATATATTTATTGGCTCCGTTCACACGTTTGGATGAAATGATTTTTTTGTGTAGTATGAAAATTTTGTAAAAAAATAAAAAATACTATCATTTCACGTTTAATCTTTGACCTTTTTATTTATTTTTTATGTTTTATAATGAATATTTTGAGTTTGGTATAAAAAATTTTGTATTATTTTTGAAAAATCGCAATTTAACATTGATACGGGAGAGGAGAAAAATTATTACAAAATATCAAATCCAATTAGTATTTAAATCAATATATGAACACAAAAGGAACAAATATGCTCTGCCCTTAGTAAATTTATTATTGTTATTACTTCAATATTAACGATTCAAAAAAATATTTATATTATTCCACCTAGACAAATTCAAATCAATTACTCTATAAATACAAAACATAAACACAACACATAACACAAACAAAAACACAAAACAACCATGCATCGCATCCCGCACTTTTTTATTATTATTATTTTATTTTATTTTATTTTTTACAAAAGATATATCAAACAATTATTTTATCTTTAAAGTATTAAAACCCATAATACAAAATGAAATCCAAATTATATATGCTCAATCAGTTTTTAACTTATACATCCTTTAAATATTTTAGGTCCTACATATATATATATATATTTATATTTCAAGAGATTTTTTTGTCAATGGTAATATTTTATATAGAATTCGAGTATTTAGTGGAATGACAAATAAATTAAATGATAATGATAAAATACCCTATATCATTAAGACTAAATTAATATATGCTCAAGATAAAAAACATATTAACATTAATAAAAATAGACAGTCCCCGATGATATTTAACATTGAAAATTAAGACAAAAAAACACTAAATTAAAAGTAAAATAAGAATACAAAGGGAAAATAAGTACAAAATGGGTCTAAATTTTTCTGAAATAATAATAAAAAAAAAAAAGAGTATAAAAACACACAGATTAATAAATAAAATAAAGCCTAATGAGTAAATTCCATTTGGCCCTCAAAATTGATGTTGCCACAACAGACCTTCAAAATTTGGACACGTCGTATCGTCAAAAAAGCCGTAATCGTCCAGACTGTACACCGACGGGTGACTGTAGCATTCCCACGTGTAATCATGGGCCTGCGGGTACGGGTACGGGCACAGGAACTCCTCCCTGCTCGGGTCGTACACCGTTTCCAGGCTGGGCAGCTCCACGATCTCGCCCAGTTCATCTTGCTCCTTCTCCGGCGCCGGCGCCGCCTCCTGCTCCGTCGTCGACGCCTCGTCCGCCGACGTCACGGTGGATACAAGCGACGAAGACGAAGACGACGTCGTCATCGACGGCGGTTTGAGGTGGTCCATGTGCGCCGCCTTGGTGGCCGCCGCCTGGACGTCCCGCGGCGAGGACGTCGCCGGCCGGGGCAGGAGGTGAGATATCTCCGGGAAGTTGAGGACGCCGCCGCCTTTAATGGCCAGCGTCGCCACGTCGTGGGCGCGCGCCGCCATCTCCGGCGTTGCGAAGGTCCCCAGCCAGATCCGGGACTTCTTCCGGGGCTCCCGGATCTCCGACACCCACTTACCCCACGCTCGCATTCGTACGCCTCTGTAAACCGGATGCTTCTCATCCCCGGACCCGGACCCGGACCCTCTGCCCCTCTTGTGCTGGGGAGCAATCGCTGAGCCCGACCCGGATGACGGGGATGAATATGAGCCGTTGGATTCGGCCTCCGAGTAAAGCTGTTGAGCCATTGATCTCGCTGATCAAGCAAACTCCCACCGATCAATGCTTAATGAGCTGCCCTTCTGAAGTATACATACACATATGTAGATATATATATATATAGAGTGAGAAATTGAAAATAAAATAATATAATAATAAAAATTAGGAGAGAGAAGAAATTGTGGAGAAGCTGAGGCAATGATAATAAGTGAAGCGGTGATATTTATACGTAAGAAGAGAAGGGAGAGGATGAAAGGCCAAATGTGATAAATGCTGTGGCAACAAAGCCTTTGTCAGGGGCCCACCTCACCCCACCCCCACCCCACACCACCCACCCACCTTCAAATGTTTATTTTTTCTATTTTGTATTATTAGTATATAGTAAATAAATATGGAAGGCGTATATTTGGGAGAGTGACACAACAAAGGAGTTGCTTCTGCCGACCCAAGTCTAGGTTTTCAACCCTAATTTTACATACATATTCTTTTAATTTTAATTTTTTAATTTTTTTTATATACTATTTGTCAATAGTATTTTTTTAAAATATCATATTTTCTCCATTCAACTAAAGTCACTATTTACCTTTTTATTTTTTGCGACAATAAAAATATTATATTAAAGAGTAAATTGTATAAAAAAAAATAATAGTAAATGTCATTGGATTTAGTGAAATGTATAATGCTATTTTGACATATAGAAGTAATAATTGAGGTAAATTGTAATTGGATAGAAACAAGATAGAGTATTCATGTGGAACATCTAGATACATTATAGATAGAACAACCTTAAACAATAAGTGAAATAACACAGATAAAACGGGTAAGATATTAGGGGGTATTTGTTTAGTATTTTAATTTAGTGTATTTTTAATGTAAGATATAAAAATTAAGTCGATAATATAAAATTAATATCTTATAAAATTGTTGAATTTTATGAGATAATATAATATATTAATTTATGGGTGTAGATCTTGTGTTAATCGAGTCAAATTAGCTTAGTGTTGATTTGATATATATAATAAAAGCATACATCATATATTTTTACATATACAACAAAAGATTTGTTATGCAATAACAAAATATATATTGCATTATAAATATAATATTGTATACCTTTATTACTATGTTGATTATGTTAAATTAGTAATGGTATAAAATTCGCCACTATTATTTATATTATATGTGTATATATTGTATTTTGTAAATAATATTATCAAAAATTATGTTAGCCCAAAATTATTGGAGAACAAACCTCTAGTTATTTTATTATTATTATTTACTATTTTCATTTATTTCTAAAATTTAAAGAGCCTTGTCCAAATGAAACTCATTCCAGGCTCACGACACACCATTTATGTAAGTACATATACGGACAATGCTTACTCTACCCTACGTATTTATCTAAATCCATATATAGATTGTGACCTAATTATGAAATAAATGAATAGTCATCGTTTATGTCAAAAAAAAAAAAATTGTAATAATAATATTAATTTTTTTATTATTATTAATGTCATCATAATATCGAGATAGTTGAGCCAAAATGTAAATTTACTATTTATATATGTAGTTCAAGAAATTTTATATTTAATTCTGCAAAATATGTGCCTCATTCAACATAATATTGTGCTAGTTTAACATATTACCAATCTAACATTTAAATGATCATTTTACCATTTTTAATTAATTATTATTAAATCAATAATCTCACATAATGGTTTGATTTTAATTTAGAAAAAGATAATAAAAATTGATGGTATGTTTGCTTGTATTTTCGCTTTTACTTTAACATTATATGATCATTATTATTTTTTTCTCATAATCTATTAGTAATTAATTAAAATACAATGGATTTGTTTATTTGAATTTTGATTGTAGTTTTTTTTATTATGTAATTCTTGTAATTTTTTATTTTCTTTTTTGTATAAAAATATATTTTTTATTTGATAAAAATATCATGTTCAAATTACTATTGAAATCAAAATTTGAAACTAAACCACAATTAAACAAATCCATATATGTAATTCATTTTATATTTAAAAATATCATATATAAAAAATATTTTTATTATATATAAGAATCATTTTTATTTTAAAAATTTTTGATGTAAAATATAATGGAGTTTGTTGTTCTTATAAGTTTCTTTTCCTTTTTTCTACATGTAAGTTTTCAATTTTCCTCAAAAAATATAATATTCAATTCTTATTAATTTATATAAAATATCACATATAATAATCATTTTTTCTAAAAACATTAAAATATAAAAATAACACTTGCAAAGACTAAATCATCCAAAACAACCGTCTTGAACTGCTAAATTGACATTGTTTAGTGTTTTGGTTTGAGGGTTTTTTTAATTATTATTATTTCATGTGAAATATAGAGAATTGTATAGATAATATAAAAATAATATTTTATATTGAGTGTTAATTTTTTTGTGAGATAATAATTATATATATATATATATAAATGCCCTCCACTTATTAGATACAACACATACTTGATTTAAATTGTCTTATAGATACATGCATGCATCCATACATGGAGTTGTATAACCAATTATTAGTTGAAGAAATCTAAAAATAGTGGTAACAAAGGCAAAGAATGAAATATAATTAGCCACAACAAATATAATTAATTGTGACAAAGATGGATGACCCCTTAACAAATTAAATTGAATGTTCCTAATTCAAATTCCAAAATATATATATGACTAAAAAAGGAAATACCAAAGATATGCATGTGTTGCTTATCATTATAAACACATATTTTTATATATACTCACCATTGAAATTAGCTATGGCCATCACATCACTCATCCCTAAAATAATTAAACAAAAGAGTAACTAAAAACAGTCGAAAATCCCCCATAACAATACAACAGCCAATTCTTTAACACATGCCAATATTCAAATCTTAATTTATATATATATATATATATTTATATTTACAACTTGTAGATATATATTGTTAGAAAAGTTTTCGATAATGAATTTTCTACTTATATTATACTTTCTTGATGAAAAATGTTAATATGAGAATAGATATGAACAAACACAAAAGATGGCGTAACGTAGACAACAAATGAAGGAATAAGTGTAGTATATTACTTAATTAATTACTACAAATAATGGGAAATTAATATGTACATGAATAGAGTATTACAAAGGGTTTGTTTATTTATTTATTTATTTTAGAAGATTCATTTTTGTAATATTTCTTGATTTTGAATTTTTTATTTAAATAACAATTTAGATGTAATCTTTGGTAATTATTACAAGAAAAACATTTATTATTATTATTTTATTTTTACGACATGAATTTGTTAGGAATCCTAAATATCTAGCTAGCTGCCAGGAATCTTGTTAAAATCCAAAATACGGATCGCTAGGTAAAATGTTTATGATAGGATACATCTCTTGTAAGATTCATACGGTTTACTAATAATTAGACGAGAACATATGTATCACCAATTAATATAGAGAGAAAATGTGATGCATTGCTATTATTGTCGAGAAAAAAACAATAAAAATATTAAACTAAGAAAGAACAAAGCAAAATAAAAAATAAAAAAAAATAAAAAAAATTCATAGATTCATGAATATATACATGAACATACAAGTTACATGCACTATTTTATAAAAAAATAAATATTAAATATGATGCTTTACGGAAAAAAAAAAAAAAAAAGTTCGGGAAACTTGATATAATTAATCGTTAAAATAAAACTAATCACATGCAAACTTTAAGTAAATATATTGTATTTATATAGATACATATAAGAATAATTAGCATGAGAATTGAATAGAGTTGGTCCCTATTATATAAAAATAAATCAATAAATAACCAAAATTAATACTGACCTCGATTAATGGTCCAATAAAAATATAAATAATTCCAAGATAATATAAAGTATTCCAATTTGTTTATCCTACCTTAAATGTAACCATGGCCCTTTAAACTATCTTCTTTAATAAATTTATTTTTATTTTTAAAATTTCATATTGATTTTATTTTATTTTCTTAAGAATAATGATGTATATATTCACACGATCCATATATATATATATATATATAATTAATAAAAATGGCTTTCGAAGGACATAAGAAAGGACACCTACTAAAAGAACATATAGGACCATATTTGACTAGATAATTTGTGCATCAATTATTGTTGTATTTTTTATTTTTTGACTAAAAAAATTTAAAAAATACAAAGATCAATCTTGAAAATAACATCATTATTTTAATTAATCCTTATTCAAGTGAAATTCACCGAATAAAGTTTTTAATACAAGATTGTGTTGGAACAATATTTTTCTCCAACTTTTTTTTGGCATATGGTTCTTCTTGCTTTTCCCCTGCTGCCTGTCTCTGTTTCCATTCAGGTCATTTCAACAGACTGCCTGCAACTCTGCTGGTCTACTCTTCTCGATTTGGGAAGCTTAGAAGAGACAAAAAGAATGAATTTTGGGGTGGTCAACCTTTGACAGAATTCATGCAGGATTACATCATTCCACTTTCGTGCAAAGGGTTTTAATTAAGTTTGTCCTGTATGCCTTGTTTGTCTGCTTCTTGGTTTGTTATGTGGGAAGTTTTTTGGTTGTTGCATAGGTTAGAGAGAGAGAACTGTTGTGAGAGAAAGTAAGTTAAATCCTCTCAACCCCAACCCTTCCCTTCTCCATGCATTGAAAGAGTGCTAGACACATTTACTTGCCGGAGACATCGTCGGAGGAAGAAGAGATTGGAAATCCGATCAGGAGATTCGTCCAAAGTCTGAGCAACCCTGCTATTTGCTAGTTGTCAGTACGAGTTCGTGACAACTTATACCTGTGGAGGGATTTTCCTAGGTGGTTTGCGTTATAGTATGGGATAAAGGAGTTTTGGGCTGTTTAGTTCATAATCAACCTTGATTAGTGAACTTCTCCTGGATTGGAATCCCCCGGATGTAGGTTGGTTATAACCGAACCGGGTTACCAAATATCTTGTCTTTTATTGCTTTGGATTTTGTTCTTATTTCGTTGACAAGATAATGTTACAACTGTGATTTTACCACGCTTCGGGAGTTGGCCCATTTGGAAAAGTGTACAAGAATTTATTGGGGTTGCACTTATTCCATCCCAACATTTGGTATCAGAGCAGTGTTCTCTAAGTTGCTGAGTAGATTCTTTCACAGTTGAAAAGATGAGTA